GCTGCATATATGCTATTGCACATACTTTTTAGGACAAAACTATTTGTGAATTAGATTTTATCATTCTCACATCAGAGAATATAAGTCTGAAGAATACACTTGCATTTTCATTTGAACTTTACTATATTTTCCTTTAAATACCCAGGGAAACAAATCATTGAAACTTTCTTTCCTGCCAGCATAGAAATAACTGGAAAATCCCTGAAGAAAAATGGATCTCTCAGAGGAACTCTGAATTTTATAAAACTTATACCAGGGAATGCAACTATGGAATTGAAGTTTTTTCTCACTTTTTCAATAAAAATAAAGAAACATCATTAGCTTTTTTAATGAAAAATCCATTCTACTTCTTTGTTTCACAGGAAGTCCCAAAGTCAGAGATGTTAGAAGATAACTGTACAAGATAATGTGTTGTATATTTCAAAGTACTTGAAAAATGCTACATTTTGTACAAATGTAATTTGGAAGTGTCCTTATGGAGTATCTTTCTCATTATTTTCACTGATTTATTTTATGAATAGAGGAGCTGGTCTCCATATAATTCACTTTTTCCAGACCTTTAATGGTTAAGTGCAGCTAGTGAAGTTGCTGTGAGGGAGGCACAGAATCTACCACTGGCTCCTAAAAAAGCCTTGTGCCATGGTGATAAAAGATCCGCTGAAATACTTCTTGAAGGAAAATATAGCAGGGTCTTTATAATGGGAGGAGCCTTCTTTTCCTGGGCACAGGTTGCTCTATGCCTCTGGGCAATTACAAGGTTATCAGTACATCTCTAGAGAAGTAAAAGTCTGTGTTTCTTACTTCATGAGTAAAAAGTGCTTTTAGCACTTCCTGTTTCTCAGGGTTAATAATGGCAGAAGTTAATGTTCCTCAATTGTATTTTAGGCCATCTGATGCTCTGCGCATCAGTCTGTAAGAAATCCTTTATTTCTGATTATTTGGAAAAAGACATTATAATAAGAGGGATAGGAATTCAGGAAGAGAGAAGTTACATTAGATTTTCTAGCTATTTGGACAAGGAAATTATTATAAAATTTAGTAAAATATCCTCTTCTGATCCTCTTCTGATGACTTTGAACTTCTGATTTGAAAATGCAGATGTTTTACTGCCTATTCCTATTTTCTTTCATGACCTGAAGTCCAAAAAATGCTTGCAATTTGTAAAGAGGTGTACACTTCAAAATAAATTTAAGTCTTGCATGCATGTGGTATCTTAAGCAAGTCATACTCTACATGTGGAAATTTAGTTGTTATTTGAAATATTAGAAAAGCATCCCAAAATCTATTTAAAAAGTTTCAGTAAATTAGATCACACCATCATATTTTAAAATGCAGAATGCAATAATGTCTGTTGTGCCTTTGCACTTGGCAAGTAATATATCCTGATAAAGCATCATATGCCTGCATGTTTTTGATAATACTTTTCCTTGGCCTAATCATGAGGTTTAATATGCAAGAATAACACTGAAGATAAACTGAGACAAACAACTTTTTTCCACCCCAAACCTGATATTATTCTTGGGCCAAAATATTAAACACATTGGATACTTACTTAGCTGCAATAGCTAGAAATACCCCGGATTTTTCTTTTATTTCTTTCTTTTTTTTGCTGGAGCTATGTTATGTTTTATTATGAGCGATGCACTAAAAATAGTTCTTAGTATGCTAAGTGACTTTTCATGCTAACCTCCTGGCAGACTTTAATCTGCATTACAAGCTAGAAATCTTTGAAGCTTAACATGTTTAATTTGCACAGCAAAGCCCAGAGAAGGGGGGGGGGGTGGAAATCACAGCAGAGCAAGCAAATTCAAAGTCACTCAGTCACATTACATGATTGGGTTTCTTGTGCGTATTCAGTTCTCCATATGCTAGTTTAGCCTAAAGCATGAATAAAATAACTGTTAAACAAAATTACCTAGTGGCAATAAGTAAACCAGTGCTGCTAGGAACAGAATCCTAGGACAACATTGAGATTAAATCTGTGCCTTTGTTTATAGAACATTTTGTTTAGTTTAATGATGATACCGCCTATTTGCCATATTTTAAAATGCTATCCATTAGCTGTGGCTGTGCCTGCTGTATGTGAGGAAATATGTATTTAGGACTACTGTCTTGTTGGCCGGAGTGGGGACCAGCACCAGAACACATCAATCTAACAGGACTGGGAACAGGAGCAGAGCATGTTCAGATCAAGCTAATCATCTGTCTACTAGATTACTGTCCTTTCAATGAAGATAATGAGGTGAAGACAGTGCTACCATGAAGTGGTGCTGTTAACCTGGAAAGTAATAAGCTTGCCAGGCAACTCAGTATTTTGGAGTGCAATTCCATTTATTAACTAAATATGAATAGATCAAATTATAACGGTAAAATACTCTTAACTCCTTTTCTCAAGTGCCAAAACCTTCTATGAAAATGCCCAAAGGCTTGCCCACTATGCAGTCAATTGCAAAGAGGCACTTACCTGGATGTTGATCTGTTTGTCATGCAGCACTCTCTGCAGCTCCAGAAGGCTGCCCTTCAGCGTCCTGAGCTTCGCGGCCAGCTGCTCTGCCTCATCCTTGGTGTGAGCTTTACCTTCCATAAGCAAGTTCTCGTTGTGCACAGATAGCTCAGACAAGGCCACCACCTTCTGCTCTATTTCAACCAGCATGTTCTGCAGCAGCAAAAACAAAGATGCAAATTCATACATTTTCCAGCATCTGTCAGGCTTTCTGGCAAGGAGACCTGTGGCCTACCTCACTGTCCGCCAAGGTAATGGCAAGCCAGATTTTCATTGCTTTGCTTTCCAGTCCCTTCTAGAGTCCTTAAAAATATGTTTGCAAACTTTTGCGTTTGTCACTTTTGTTTGCAACCTTTTTCAAAAGAGGAAATTTAAAAGTTGAGTTATTGGAAACAAAGGATTTGTTGTAGAGATGATCTTTATTTGCACATTAATGGTAACTATGGCTAAGATGCTAGACTTTCACATCCAAAATGACAAGAAATAGAGCACACAGAGATGGAGTTACTTCTTTCCTCTTCTTCCCTGTACATCCAGTGAAATCCTTCCTACCTCCTCCTATGTGTTGCTCTGGGCTGCATTGATAAGCTTCTCTTCTCACTATTTGCTCTTTCTTGATTGGTGCATGATGGACTTAAGGATTTCTGTATAATCCTCTTTAGTCTAAAGAGAGACTTAAGTGACAAATCTCTGGCGTGTTTATTTTCAAAAGCTACTGTCTTGATGTTCCATTAACCACTTACATATTACAGACATGAGGCATATTCTGATCTTCTGAACTAGAAGTTCATATGATTCTTGTTCTCAAACCTGGCCTGATATCAATTGTTTTGGTTTCCATAGCATCAGTCAAGTATAAACTTAGAAATGTTGCTCTTTAAAGAATGTGTGCATGATAAGATAGGCAGAGCCTCTAAACAGTGGAAAAATTAGTGGATTTTTTTAAAAAACATACTGCATTAAGATTTGAAGGACCAGCAAATTAATTGCTTGAACAGCATCAGTGACTTTTCCACAGAGTTAACTATTCTTTTTAATAGTGAGATTCCTACAGGTTATATTAAAAAAAAAATACTGCTTTGTTTAAGTTCACAGGGTTTATCTATATAAAACAAACAGCTCTCAAGGACGTGCAATGGAAGAATACTTGAGACTGAACAGACTGAAAATTCCAAAAGTGAAGCAGTGTCACAACATGAAAGTATAATTAGATTCTGTTATATATACCTATTTTAATTCACTGTACTTGTATGAAACTCAATTCTCATTTATCCCGAATTAGTTGAGATCCTCATTAATTTCTGTGAGAAGAGGGGACGCTTCTGTCCTTTGTTTCTTTTTTCTTTTTTTTAAATCATGATCAAGCAGAATTCTAAACTCTCTTTTAACAGTGGAAAACCCCCAGTAAGTGGGAATCTGGATGCTGTAGCTGATCGTATTAATAAAGGTATATGCAATTACTACTACTGCTGCAAAATACTTTTCCTCAATTGTTTTGTATTCTGAGTTGATTAATATTAAAATCATAAATATAATTAATGCTGATGGTTAAACTTTACTTTTGACTCTGGGAAGGGACTACTCCTGAAGAAAACACAACACTGTCCCAATCACCACTGCTTAGTAGGAGCGTGCTCTTTAGCTGGAAAAGGAGGAGTAGAGAAGTACACTGCAGGTGTTCTCATTTGTATAAGCGTGCTGTTCAATAACTCTGCATCTCCAGCTTGGGTAGAGCAGAAACAGTAAGTGAGGGGAATATAAGGCCTTTAAAACAAAACAAACAGTCGCCTTAAAGGCTGCAGAGCTGCGAACACTCCTGCAGTCAGGGTATCTTGTTTTCCTACTGTTATGTTTATGTGGTCTTTCTAAAGCCCTGTTTATAATCTTTTAATAAGAAATGAAGAATCTTTTATTTCACACATCACTGATGAAGTTAACTGAGCATATGTAGGATGCTCACTCAGGAAATCAGAAACCTCTTCCCCACTAAGAAGCTGGCTCACTCAACTCATTAATGGTCTTAACATTAATGCTCCATATTTGTTCCATTTTCGCCTATGCATTCAGATAAAGCTATGTCTATCCTGTTCATCTAAACATTGTGAGTCTGATAATTTTACCTGACAGTCTGTCAGCTGAGCGTCCATGTCCATAGGTTCCTCAGCAGTAACCAAAGCTGTGTCCAGAGTAGCTCTGGTATTGAGTAGCCAGTGATCAAGCTCATCGGCTTCACAGCGGTATCTTTGAAGGGCCTGCTCTTGCCGCTGTTCTTCCAGCTGCTCGTTCAATTTTTCCTAGAGGTGAAAGTTGTGACATATTTATTTTTTTAAAGAAATATAAGATAAAACAGTCACTTTATAATTTTTTCCCATCTCTCTGTATCTCACAACTTCTATACAGCATTTTTAAGCCAAAATCTACCTTTTCTTTCATAAGTTGGAAAACTTTACAAAGTGTTTTTGCTTTCAGTGAAACATTTTTTCTGGCAAGTAGAGTTAAGGCAAATTGTTTTTATCAGTTAAGGTAAATTGTTATACTTGTACTTACTTCAGTAGGCCTCTGCTATTATAACCTTAGTTAGGTGAGATCTTTTCTGCCCCCTCTTGCTGCTCTTAGGGAAAAAGCAGCAGAGGGGCACAGAGCTGGGAGTGGGCTGTAGAGAAGGGAGAGCAGCCTTGCCTTTTTTGGCAGCAGCAAGCTGTTAGACAGCCTTAGCCTCTCTCATGAGACTTCAGTCTTTGCATTGCTTTTGCTCACAAACCCACCTTGCAGATCTGAGCTAAGACACACTGCTATTACGAGGCTATTAAAAATGCTGTTAAAAATCTTTCCATTTACTTGAATGAGCCAAGTATATGTACAGCATGCAAATTCAGACCTGCATATGCACGGTAAATCCTAGACACAGGAGAGTGTTTGGAAAGGTTTTCTCAATGCTTAATTTTAATGGGAAAATTAATGAGTGCATGTTAGAGTAGTTTATAGAATAATGTCAGCTAAGTAGCTCAGTATTTTACAGTACTCAAGTTCTCATTATTTAATTTAGGCCTACAGAAATAAAACAGCATTGCTAACCCATGCCATTAGCAGGAGGACGTTTTCATTACCTATTTTGTCAGGATTTCTACATTTACATCCCTGAAGTGTTCTGGAAGATTATATTGTCTGCAAAATCAGAAACTAGCGCAATACAGAGTATAGGTTAAATTACTGAATATTGTCTATATATCACACTTACGCCAGGATACTGGAGGAGGATACTTGTGCTATTATATCAAAGCAATTGTCAGAATCTTAACCAGATTTAAGAGCAGTAATTGACTCATGCTTCATCTTAAACTTATTACTTATTACTGCCATTAAGAAGGTTAAGGGGGCCTGTATAACGTTACCTTAATATCTGCATTCCATTACTTCTCCTATGGAGAACAAAGGAATAAAGAATATGTGGAGGAAACGTCATTTAGGGTATTTAAAAGATTAAAATAGTCAAATAGGACTACTGAGCAGTGCATTTCTAAGTTCCTTCTGGTTACTTATTGCCTGGCAATTAGAAGTGGGACTGAATTTTAAAAAAGAATACTATATTAGTAAAATGGATTGTGAGAAATTAGCAGAACTGAAAATGACTTATTTTTATTAGGAGCATTCAAGAATGACCGGCTAAGGACTTTGGTTAAAGTACAGTTCTGCCCAAATTGGCTCTCAAAATCTGAAGTCTGGTCCAAAAACCCACTTCTATGTTTTTTCTGTACCTCTATTAGCTGTCGTTTTCCAGATGCTTTCATTCGAATTGTGGCCATTCGCTCTGCCAAGACTGTGAGAGTGGACTGCAACGCCAGCTGATCAGCAGCTTCTGTATCCACTGATTCTGAAACCAACTCCTTTGCTAATGATGTTTGAAGCTCACTGATTTCTTCTTGTAACATTAGAATCTCATCCATCAAAGCCTATTCCAGAATGAGAGCAGAGAAACTAGTTGTTTCATTTATTAGTGAGAAGAAACTGTATAAGAAGCTATATTCGTAATAAAAAAGCAAAGATGACAATGCTCCAAGGGAGCATAAAGAACACAACACAGGGCAACATATCACTCCTTGTTTGTTAGTCTTAGGATTCAGAAGGACTGAATCTTGCCTTTGGATACTTAGGCTAGGATCATGCATCTGCTAACTGAAATATGGCCTTCATTATTCATCTTGAATTTGAAACATATCACCAAAATAAATTTGCTGAAAATAGTATACACATAGGCTTACTCTTCCAACAAACTTCTATGATTTTTCTAGAGGGGATTCTAGCGGACATACAGAAGATGTAAGTGCGTGAAATACAGCCATGACTTAGGAGCAGCCAGAAACTTACTAACTGGACAAAGAACTTCCAACAATATACACAAACATGTAGAGATTAACTTAAAGAGAAGTTCCTATGATAATTCTTATCCTAGAAATCAGTTTTCAAGATACCTAAGAAAGACTATCTAGTCTCTCAGAACATTACTAGTCTCGCAGACATTTCTAGTCTCTTAGAACAGATCGTTTCATGACTGTTCCAGACAGTACATACACACTGGATGTATGGGACTTCGTACATGACTACAAAAGTCAATTGTTATCCTTGTCAACCCACAAAGTCCCTAGTGAAAGGAGAACTGGCCACACCTGAGAGTTTCAAGCTATCAGATGGACTGCTTTGATGATTACAACCTGGACATATGTCAGATAGGTTACTTGGCAAGAGCCATTTAGACAAGCTTGCAGTTGTATTCTGGATCCCGAGTCTAGTTTTCAATGTCCGGAGCAAGAGAATGGCCACAGCGCAGTTTAAATAATGTCTTTTGACTGACCACGACTGAAGTAATTCCCATTACAATGCACTATATCCGGGAGTCTTTTGTAGTATGTTGGGTTTTTGTCAGAAGAATGTGCAGACCAATCAGCATCTAACACTAGATCCCTACATCATGATTTCCCCAAATACATTTTGGTCAATCTCTGTCTGTAAATATTTAAAGGTGAAAACTGTGCAAAACATACCAAAGAAAGGTTCTGAGCTTACAATTTCTTTGCAAACATAGTGAAAACAAATTGAATCAAGGTGAGAAGCCTAGTCCACGCTTCTTCCTATTTAATGAAGTGATGATATCAAACTAATTTTGAAATAAAATAAATACTGGATCAGTGTTTCCACTACACATGCAATGATGATGGAGACCTGTCGTGGCTGTATCTTCCTGGATACATCTTGCCAATATGGATTACAGAGAGATAATGTTATCTCTTTGAAATCCTCCCTGTGAGTTCTCTGCATTTTGAGGACAATTATCTGCTAGTGAAATAATCCATTTTTAATTTAGTGAATGCAGTCCTTTTTTTTTAGCTTGATACTGAATATCTACGAATCAAGCCTTAAAAAATGAACCAGAAATGGAAAACCTTTCTTCTAATAGTCTAGGCTGATACAGTATATTTCAACTTAATATTTTAATTTCTTTATTTGTCATAAACAGTGATACTAAAAATTGGAAGAGGGAAACCTGCTTTGTGAACGTAACAACAGCATTTTACCTGGAATACTTACTACATTCTCTTCATGAGAGTATACATTCGGAGCATGATTTCTCAAGAATGTGGGCGTTTTATTGTGTATTTTGGTTTGTTTGTTTTGTTAAGAAGGCAAAGATTGAATTTAGATCCTTTTAACATGCCTCAGTAGTAGTTATAGTCTTAATCAGTAAATTTGACATCAGAAATAGTCAAATACAGGCTGGTAGCACTAATACTGCACAGCACGTCACCCACACTAGCGTAGGTGTCACTGAGCACAACTTTTGACAAAAGATTTTGCTTTTTACTGAAAATCTTGATTGGACAAATGGCCTTATGATCTATTTTACCTTTTCCAAAGGTTCCTTTTTAAAAGCATCCCTGTTATACCAACTCTAGAAGAGAAGGAAGTCCAGAAAAGAAAGACATACAGCTAAAGGAAAAAGTTCATACAGCCTCTGCATAACTTTGAAGCATCCAGTGATGAAGACTGCCATTATCTACCAACAGAGAGAAATAAAGCTACAGGTAATGCATGCTCTCCCTCTATCCCTCACATAGCAGTCTTTACCTGATGTTCAGCCATCTGGCTCTCTGGGCTCTTGCCCGGTTCCAGACTCTCATTTAGTTTGATCTCAGTGGTCTCCATTTTTGTGGATATAGACTGGAGCGTGTCTTGATATTTCTGTTGACGTTCAAGAGCTTCATAGAGAGTGCGCTGCTTTTCACTGATCTGAAGAGAAATGGAAGCTATAAATTCTGACCTCTGATACAGGATTTGCTCTTTCTTCTCCTCTCCTTCACAAATCCCTAGGCTTTTGCAACTAAAACCAAAAACTTGCAACATCAGTTTTAAAAAGTATAAATTATATAGTAAAACAGTCACACTAAAAATATTTCATTGTTTAAACATCTTCAGTGAAACTCTAGGTTCTGTGACTGAAAAAAGCCATTTTAATAATCAGGGGAAACCCAAGCACATTCTTACACCTTGCTCTAGGCTGTGTACACTCACATGCATATATGCATGTGCATAATCTGCTAGAGGCATAGTTCCTAATACAGCATAATTGCTACTGTGTCTCTGCAAAGAATTACACATGAGAGTATGCAATCAAAACTTTGGCCGTTGTCATACATCACTGAATGATCATGCTGTGCTAATATGCTTAAATGTGTTAAGTATACCCAGTATTTCCCAGAAACTGGATCCTTGACTGTTTTTGCCAGCACATCCAGTATGTATTGATTTGTGTGTTAGGTTATGGAATATAGTCTGACAACACCTAACAGTTCTGAAGGCAACTATCAGAATAAATGATTTTTACTTTTTCTTAATGGGGGTCCATATTATACAGATTTTCAAAAAAAGAACAAAGCTGTCATATAATATTGCAACTGACAAATATTGCTGCCCCCAGAAAGTCAAGAAGTACAAAGAAGAATATTAGCTGAGCCTGTTTTTCACATTTTATTCCTTACAAGCTAGCCAATCATTTTGATCTCTCCCACTGAAGACTTACCACGTTCTTTAGTGTTTCCCAAGAACGCTGCAAATCATCCAGTTTGGCACTAGCAGCTGACTCCAAGCCTGGCTCATAGAACTCCTGGGTGGCTGAAGTGCTGGGGTGAATTTTAGCAGCGTCTGTCTGCAACTGTTCAGCAGATAAGGCTTGGTAATAAGCAATGTCCTACAAGCATGAAGCACATTATTGCACTTTCAAAATGAAAGATACCAATAGGAATATCCCCTTACACACTGTTCCATTGCACGTATCCATTATTATATACAAGGCTTTCATTCTGTATACTTTTTTGTTTTTCAAAATACAAAAAAAAAAAAAAAAACAAGAAAAACCCCCCAAAACACTAAGAAACCTCCAAACAACATAGCTAACAAATATTTAATAGTAGTACACTGGGCATGGTTTGGAGGTTTATTGTGATGAAGAATGTGGATGAATTTTTTCATGTTCAGGATCGGTATTTGCAGGGAGACTCAGGAGGCAACTGTGGATACACGTGGAAAGGCTGAGCCAGGAGAGCAAGAACCAGGCAGTCACAACTATGGGGGAAACCCATCACAACCGATGGGGCTTACAGTATTGTAGGTAGCAAAGAATAGAGCTCTAACGCCACTACCAGAAAGAAGGCAACAGAGGAACCAAAAAAAGAAGATTCTGAAGAGCTATTTAATGAGGCAAGAAAGAGAATTAAACACTGTTTTTTGATAAGCCCTTAAACAAGTATTGGCAGCTCTCTCACAAGTAAGACATAGTGGGCATGGGGACCAAGAGTACCTAGGAAAATAGGCATATGATCAAATTACCCTTGAAAAATTTAGCGTGCAAACTCTTTCTCATCAGAAGTTGTTTACTTAATGCGTGGGGATTTCTTCAACTATTGCAGTGACATAATTAAAGATCTACAGAAAATAAGGAAACATGCACTGTGCCTGTGTTTAAGTCAGGAAAACAGACAGTGACAGGGACTATAAAAAACTGAATGTATGACAGTTAGCAGGCATACATTTATTTGGAGGGTGAAAAATGCTACAAACTTCCTTCTTCTCGCTCAGTTGCCCCAACAGTAAATGAGGCTCCAAATCATGTGACGAAGCAGTCGTTATCCAAGTTCTCTCAATCATTTTGAATTTGCAAGTGCTCCCGGTGAGAGCTTTAAGACACCATTTTGTTGCCAATGAATTCAGTAAGAATTTTTTCACTGATTTCTGTTAGGGTGGACCAGACTTCCTTTCAAGTATTGATAGCCCTGGTCTCCAAAGTAATTTGTGAATCAAAAAAGTTGCCCAGAATCTACTGAGAAGTGTATTTGTGATCAGGAGAATCATCCTCCAGTGACTGCAAATTTCTCAAATTTCTCCTTTCTTGACCCCATATAACAGGAAGAAAAATCCAGCCATGTGGCTGAGAAAAAAGAAAGTGCCTTTTGCTTAGCAGCTTACAGAGACCACAGAGCTGCACTGAAAATATAGGTCACACTGCCCTATATGTGATGGAGGGTGGGACAAGGGCCAGGATTTCATACGCTACCACTGAAGATCTTTTTCTGACCTCTTCATTTTCCAAAGCATTATTTAAAAATAATTAAATAAAATACAGATCCACATTGTGTGCTCACTTCGTTATCCTTTGGGGAATTCATAGCCATTGTAATATACTTTGTTTAATGCTTACCGGTGTTTGTTAGTTTTTCTTAGCTCATGAGAATTTTTGAAAGTGAAATGTACAGTGTTCATTTGAAAATTGTACAGAAGAGTATGAACTAATAAACAAAGACCTAAGGAATGAGTGGGATCCAAAGAAGACAACAGTTCACTGTTGCCAAAAGATGTTTTTGGTAAAATGAGTTAGTCCTATTAATTTTGCAAGAATTCATTTTATTGTATTGGAATACTGATGCAGCTTCCTTCTTTAACACATGGGAGTTTAGACTACCTGTAAAAGACACTTTGCTCTTTTTCAGCTTATAAGACTGTAGCTGAAATTTGGAAAACTCGATTGCAGGAACAATTCATTTTTGAATCTGAAACAAAGGGTTCAATGTTTGCTTGAATAACTGGTTAGAGAACAGACAGGGAAAGAAAAGGAACCCCACCCCCACTCCAACACTGAGATTCCCTGAATTAAGCTAAATTTTATTGTATTTCTAAACTGTACTCTCAGAGCCCTGTGGACATTTATCCACATTAAACACTCAAAACATTTTAATTACAAATATCTATATATATGTGAGTGTGTGTGTATAGGTGTTTAAAAGTTAGATACTCAACATGACTAGTTTTGAGATACCAGAGCCTGCAGTGGAATTAGGATCCTAATTTGAAGCAGAACCTTTATTTCCCAGCATTATTTCCATAGGCTAGGTAATACCATAAGTGAAGAAAAACCAAACAGCTCTGGCAAAAGAGTGTAGAAACCCGGCCAGTAATCACTGATCACAGACATGTTTTTGTCATCTCTTTCTAACCAAATCCTCTGAATTCCGCTATTTGATTCAGCTTTATCAGGAAGGAATAAAGAACGCATATCTGTCCCAGAAAATAGCCTATTACTCACTGGCTGGACAGATACAACTTTTAACTTCCCCCAGAGAGTGAAGAGACTTGAGTTCAGGTTATCTGCTTCCTGTATGAACATTTTAATGATTAAGGTGCTACTTACAGTCCACCACTGATATTTTTAAAGCAAGATGGTAGCCAGCAGTGTATTTTGCAAACAGGTCAGTCACCCATCTTTACTGAAAATGCCTGGAAAAGTCAGTTTCTCTGGAGAAACAGAAAACCCCAGAATGGACGGCACGCATCAAGCTGTCCAAATCTATCAAATTAGGTACTTCTTCAAAGGCAATTCTCAGGAAACTTAAACATTAAAATATGAAAGTGCTTATGATGTTCAGGAACCAATAACAGTTTGGTAACAGCTTACCACATATTCAGGACAGCAGCTTCAGGACTTTTGACTCTACCTTTCCAGGTCATGGTGGAAAACCGCACTGGTGCGGGCAACTTCTCAGTTTTCCTAGTCTACACCTAGTACCCATCCCTCAGCTAGTCCCCTCTCAAGGCCAAAAGAAAAACTGTGCTTCTGAGACTCCTTAATTGCAGTTTCTAGAGTAAAGGGCTTGCTCTTAGAGAGAGGCGAAAGCAACACTCCCCTCCTCTCCTTTCAACCATTCTCCCAACTACCTGTCTTTTCAACTACTTTTTGGAGTACCCAGCTTGGCAGTGAATGAGAAAACTTAAGGTAATACCTTTTCAGCAGGGATTTCATGCCAATAGTGTGAATCCACATGTTCTTAACCATAACTGTTTTGTTCCCTCTACACAGGCCCCAAAGTCTCATTCCCTCTTTTCCTCTTACAAAAATCAGCCAATGAGCAGTACTCTAGCTTTGCTGTTAAGATGTATTTAGATTTCAAAAGATGTCTAAGAAGGGCTGCTGTGGCCTAGATGTGTTTTCATAAGGGAAGGAGAAAGAATGATTTCTAAGTATGCTGCGTACAGGCAGACAGACATTTAACAGTGACCCAGTATTGAAACACGAGATCAGCTGTGGCCTCCAAGGCTTTGTGCCAACACTGCAGCTTTCTCAGTTCTCCCTGGGAAATTGCTCTGCATTATATATCTACAAAATAGCTCTTTAAAAAGTGTGCTAAATTGTAATTAAGTGTATCTCTGGGTAAGTGTGAGAAATTTTAGTGCCAGGGGATTCTCATCCAGTACTGCAGCCCAGCTGAAGAGCTGATATAATAAATATTTTGCATTCATATCACAAGATACAAAGTATTAATTCAGAAAAAGGTTTCTTTTTGAAAATAGCATGCAAACACAACATTAGAGACTCCTTCTGCGATATGCCATGTGCCTTTTGTGGAGACAAAAACATCCCCCATTTCCCCTATTTTCATTTACTTCAGAGGAAGCTTGGAATATTTACTTGTTTCAGTACCTGCTGGATGTAGTGAGCAAGTGGTATAATGGAAAGGCAAAAAGAAACAAACAATCTAGGCAACTGTTTCTTTATAACTGCTAGATTTGTCACTTTTTTTGCTCTTGTTTCAATGGTCTTGTTTTAATATACTTCAATATGTATAATCAGTTCAGACATCTATGCACAACGGGAACATTGCTAGCAGCTAATGAAAACATAAAACAGGTGCCAACTGCAATAGCTGCTAGCAGTGTTCCCGTAGTGCATAGATGTCTGAACTCAGACTAGCTACATTTTACCACTGGGAAATGCTAAGAAATCCTGATGGGAGACTATACAGAGACTGATAGGGATGAAACTGAAACAGCCTTGAAAACCAACAGATGAACCCCCCAAAACATCCCTAAGATGGATCTATATAATTTGCCCTGAGAACTTGTACAGATTCTCTGAAATGTGCTAAACATGTTTTTCTCTGGAAGACAACTACTTCCCCATACTGAATTGACTAGGATGGCTATTTATTTCTGTAAGAACAGCCTGTAATGGATTAGCACACACAAAAGCGCTCCTTCTTCCACGTTCCTTCTCCCTAACATCACCTCTGTAAGACTACCAGTCAATGCTAGCCTTTAGCCACAGTTATTCAAGTAAGTAGCTTGTTACCAGGCTGTCTCTCCACAAGCCCCTTCAAATCCATCCCAAAAGGAAGGAGAAGCAGCAACCATGTTTACTGATTAAATGCGGAAAGATACCAATCTCTTTGCGAGCTCACATCTGAAATATCTCCACTTTGACATCTGTCTAGAAAGAAAAAAATGGAGTTACTGTGTATGAGCTTTTTTTTTTTTTTTTAAGACTAGATTTAAGTAATTCTTTACTCCCTAGAGTTCCTGCTCACATATTTTTCTGGTATGTGGCAGGTGATATTCCTGTAAGAAGTTACTTGTCTTAGCACTTTCTGCTTTGCTCTAAAAGTGTTTCCAAACTAGTTTTGCTGAGTTTTTTTTATTGAATATAAAATATTTTTACTTACATTTAAACTCCTTAATTCGCTGTTGTCTAGAATTATTTACAAAACTTCTTTCCTGAGCTGTAGTTGGACATTCATCATGATCAGCACTGGCAGTTTCAAAGTTTCTTTAGGTTTAATCTGGTATGAATGGGAACCTAAGCATTTTGTAAGTAAACCACTTGATTATGGAATGTTCTTCTGCTTATTGTTTAGTAAGTGCAGCTCATTTCAACACTAACCACACTGAAGAAACTTTTATTTGTCAGGGTTTTAGCTTTTTAACTGCAACATTAGCAATCTTCTTTCTTTCAAAGATATCTAAATGAAAGACATCATCTTTTTGTTGATGGGTTGTATATTAGAGGTTCTAAAACTTACGTTCTGATATCAGCTTATGGTGCAACAGCATCTTCATTCGATTTTCCTTAAATTATTTGAGTTACTGGAGTTAACAACCTGATTTTTCATTCTCAGAGAAATTTAATGAACTGACCCTACACTGGATTTGTTTATTAGGAAGCAAGTTATTCTTGTTCCTTTTAACTCTTTCACTTATTAACATTGTCATAGGATTTTTGTGCTGAACTATGCAGCTGCCCTTCTACTGCAAGTAAACTTTACTGGGAAATCTCTCACTATCTGAAATGACAGGACAATTTTGGAAACAGACACAAATGCAAAAACAAATAAACAAACAATCCAAATCCCACAACATTGTGAACTCAGTGAAGTGGTGACTGCTCGTAAGGCTAATTTCTAAACTTCAGCTCAGCATTGTATGTGTCCCTTTATGTGCTTGATGCTCACAGTGCTGGTTCATTGCTCACATCTTAATCAATGCTGAAGTACACTTGTTTCTACTAGAAGTGCCAGAGTTCTCAGTTTTGACTTAAAAAGTAGCCTAAGTGATTCCCCTGATCTGTCTCATTACCACTTAGAATATCACTGAAAGTAAAGAATGAACACTGCTCCTGAACAACACATGAAAGTTAATACTTGAAATGGTATTAAGTGGAAGAGATCATACTGTGGCTCCAATGCTACAATGACAACGATACCATAAGATACATGCACATAGACATAATGCAGTGTTTTGTTATGGAGAACAGAAAATTGCCTTTTCTCTCAGGATGCAGGATGCCACTGGGTATTACTATGAAAATGAAAATTAGACTATAAATAGAAAAGAGTAGTGACATGGAAGACTTTTGTAATGGTTACTATAAATTTTTTAAAAAATAGTGAATAGTTTTTTGTAAGGCCAAATTCATACATTCTAGACTCATTAGCCAATATTTGTATTCATTCTGAACTAGAACCTGAGGGTTCAGTTAGGCTAGGGCTTGAGCCTCAGTTCCTTGGAGCTGTAGACAAATATTTCAAAGGATGGAATAAACCCCATATGGAATGGAACCATGCATGTCTCTGAGATAAAAGCTGAATGAATGCCAGGAGGAAGGTACCTGGTTAACAGAAGCATCTGTATTAGCCACGGGTGAAGGAGAGCGACAGGCAGGTGGAGAAGAAATCTCACTGTTGGTTCCCTCCTCCCCAGACTCCTCAGTGACAGGGGAGAGCAGTGTGTGACAGCGACCAGCAGTCATCTGCCACAGGAAAAGCAACACCAGAGCACAGGAAGAAGATCAGTCAGTTACCTCAGCTTAGGTTGGACTTAGACTAGTCTGAGATCAAACTAAAAATTTAACACATGGCCACATGATATTATTTAGTCATTCTTCATGCTCTTATATTTAACTGCTTAAAAACCTGATGAATTAATAGTCATATTTACTTATCATACGTCAGTATGAACATGCTGGTACTCTCCTGTCCCCTAAGGAATTAAAAAGAAAATAGATAGCCAGCAACTCAATAATAACAAGTTGGAGTTTGCCTAAATGTCACCTGGTACAATCAGTTCTGCACGTGGAAATACTATGGAGAGCTACAGAATAATGCAGTATTGGCCTCAGTGTCCAGGCATGGTTAGAACACAAGGAACAGTCTTGAAATATAAAGAAATACATCATCCAATAGTAGCATAAACTTTTTGCTTCTCCAATGCTGTTATGCAGTGATAAATCCTGAAATCGTCACTCCCTTTCATTCAGGCAAAAATCCCAATGACATCAGCAGTATGTTTGTAATAAGACCCAATTAAAAATAAGCAAAGCCAGAATAAATCAAGCATGAGGCCTATATCAGTACTTATTCAGCTTTCATTCCCACATACAGCATATTTTCAACTATCACATCAACTTTTAATAAAAAAGCTTTAAAAATATGGTCTGTAAACCCTATATTATTTCATGATACGTTGCAGTATATTTATTTTGTTTTTCTCTTATTCCTGCCATTCAGTAGTTTCTCAGTGTTTGCTTTGCTGTATCTGGGGGGGGGGGGGGGGGGGGAAGAAAATAACATCAGCATATGTGCTGACATCTAAGAAAAAGCATTACATTTGCATCTCATTACAGACAACTTCCATGAATAGCTGTCTGTTAAATAACTTCATCCTATACCAATGAGCCTTCAAAACCCATATAAAGCAAAATACAGTAAGAGGAAGCTGTAGCTCGTTCAGTTTGCCACACTCCAGCCATTTCAAAAGCAATATATAAATGTGAGCTGTGGCAACTCACTACACAGGAGTGTTGCAATGACGCAAAAGAAAGCAGCTCAGATAAACACTACTGAGAGCAATTTAGTGCTTACCATGACTACTGAGGGGTGAGCAGGGTGTGTGCGGAGGAGTTCTGAATCGAGCTCCTCCATTCCTTCTGAAAGCCCTTCCACTTCTGTTACCGTCAGCAGCATAGTGGCATGCTTTGCTTTCATTGTTAGCATCTTGCACTTCGAATTCAAAGAAGCAATTTGCTCCTGGTATCCTTTGATCTTCTGTGCCAGCTCCTGAGGAAACATTTTTTTTGCCTGATGCAGAGACAGCAAATAAAGGCCATCGGACTAGCGGCATTTCAGCTTCCGTGGAGAAGGCAAGCTCTCTCCTCCAAGACCAGCCAATAAAATCATAGCGCTGTGTCTCAGAAACCCTACACAAGCAGCAGCGCTAGCTGAAAAGCAGGATGTTGACTGTGGAAGGAACAAGTCAGGCTGCACCTCACTGCACAGTGAAACCACAAAGCAGAGAGCTTTGAAGTGAAACCGGAAAAGTGCTGTGAAAGCCTCTGTATGATTTCACAGAAGAGAAGAATATTTCACACTTGTATTCAAGTCTGAACTTAACACAAATTCTATAAGCTTCAAATTACAGCAAAGGGAAATGTCTCCAGCTCTTTCTCTTTTTTTCTTTCTTTTTTTTGGTCTTTTTCCATTTATCTAAGAAAGATGAAACTCTCCCAGATGGTGCATGCCATGAAAATGAGGTCATGTGATTACCAGAACTGTGAAAAATGCACCGTTCAGCTCTCATGGACAGAATACAATGAATAGTTCAAACAATAACTCACAGCGGTCTAACAAGACCAAATGTAATAAGGACAATAACTCACACAACAAGATTAAATGCAGACTAGATCACTCTTTGCTGGTGTTCGGATAGCTATTTTTATCTTTATATTTTATTTTAGTTTTGTGTAAGTCTTCCGAGTTAAAAGCTGAACTGGACGCAGTACTGCCCCTTCTTTAAAAACAGTGGGGAAATTTGGCCCAAAGCAGAATATATTTAAAAATACTGTTTTCTTATGATTATGCAATGGTCTATCTGCATGGAGAAACACCATCATCAATTTAAGTTTAGTCAGAATAGAAAGAAAGAAAGAAATAGTTTTAGAAACTGGTTTTTATTCTCTTATAGCCTATACTGCTGCTTAGTTCAGGGTCCCGTTTCAAAGCAACAAATTCATATATTTTAAAGGTATCAGTGGGAGACTTTCACATTTCTGCCATAGCTATTGTTTCGGTCCTCCTGGAGACTCAGTAACATGACAGATTATTGATCTATGAGGTGAAAACAGTATTTGTAGAAGCATCCCTGCTAAATCAGTGACTATTCATTCAAATACGTATTCCTTATTTTTATTTCTGCTTTATTTTTTCCCCAAATGCTAGTTTTCAAAGAAAAAAAGCAACAGCTGGTGCAAGAGTCATTCACTACTGCTCAATGAATGATACATCTCATGGGCTAAGTAGGAAATCAGTTATCATTCAACATAATCACTTAACTCCATCAATGCTACTGAGATCCAATAATATTTGTGGAGTTAATACCCAATACACTGAATATCTAACATTCCTCTCTCATCTGAAAACAAACAAAAGGGGAAAAAAAGGCAAAAAATGTGTGGCTGGGTAAAAATAAAACATGTTACAAAGTAATTTAAGCTGACAACACACTGGTGTCTATACACTCTATGACTGAAGAGACACCGGCTATCCTGCAAGCTAGCGTATGTCCATTAAAATCATACAGAAGCATGGAGACATTTGGCCACCTTCTCATATGAAAGTGCAAAGAAATAGGCTTTTGTAAACAGGGCTCCAGAGCGTAAGTACTGTTGCATACAGGTGAGGTACTACAAGCCTAATCAGTGTACTTGCCTTCTGCTTTCTTCCTCCTATTTTCATTCTAAGCGTAGGTACTACATATATCCCTTGAAGTTCTTGTTCATGCAGGCTTCAACAGGGAATCTGGTAATTGATCTTTTCTTAAATTTAGAACACACATAACAAGTATCTTGGCAGACTTGCTTTTACAAGGTATAACAGTATAGGGTCCAGTATATCCCCTTTGTGCACTTTTCCACAAGTATTCCGCAAACAAAATATGGGCCAAAACTATGGATATCTGAGTCTTTAAACACTCAATATTTTCAAATAGAAAATGGAAGATTAATTTTATACTACTTACTATCATATGCAATTCATGCTTTCTTCACCAAATCCCATGTAATATTTTTTTCTGATAGAAAACTACATGTTGTCTGAGGGAAATTAATCCCTAAATGTGGGAAGCTTGCAAGTAGGAAACCTGGTCACTCTATGGTATCCTATCATGTGCAACAGAATAAAGTTGCAGTCTTGCTACAGATGTTTAGAAGAAGAACTAGCTACAGGACTCATTCAAATGTGAGTGCACCTTCAAGCTGCCCCATTTTTAATTCCTTCCTCTATGCAGCATCATCTCTTCCTCCTTACCATGTATCACTGAAGCGACTCACCTGCGTAAGCTACTGCAGAACATTTGTGAAGAGAATCCTTGCATTTTAATTCAACACTAAAAAGAGAAGTGTTTTTAAGACACCTGATCTGCACTTGCACTGTGTACCTTTTGTAACAACCAGACAGAAAAGGAGCAGCACAATATTGAGGGTAGACTTTTAGGTTCTATTACATAATGTGACAGATAACATTTTGTTTCAAAGGTAAAGAAATGGTGCCATCTGGCGTCAAAAATGATACACAGAGAGACGTCAGTGATGCGTTTTTGAGCCCAAGGAATATAGCAATACACTCAGGGAAGGGGAAATGGGCCCTGGTGCTCCAGCACGAGCACTGCAGAGGAGGCTCCGCAGATATGATCCTGACTCACAGGAGCTCCAGAGATCCACCAGTCTGAGGGCAGGACCTGTAACGCCACAGGGAAAAACTCAGCCCAGCAATGACTTCACATGAAGCCTTTGGAGAGACGTCTCCCCTGCAGAGACTTCCTCCAACTCTACCGTGGCTGTCCTGTGATTTGGTCCCTTGGTGTTTTCTAACAGAACATTAATGGGAGGGAAACGAATAAGGACTTTGTGATATATCTATGAACCACAAAATTGGCAGTGACCACCTGATTAAACGTTCAGCGTTGCCATTTGGGACAGTCCCTTGTCAAACCCCTTTTTTAACTGTCCCTTAGTTATGTACTGCTTTAGTTTGTAATAATATTGCCTAGATACTGGGACATGTTTAATTGAGTAAAGAAAAGATTAATTTGAGCTATACTAATAGCATGAGTTTCCTATACAGTATTAGTCCATCTGCTCAGCTAGCCTTGGAAGATGTCTGAAAAACTGCTCAGCAAGCTTCTGAGACGTGCTGAGGAGGAACGTTTCAGGCCAGTGAACCCATGCTGTTGCACTTTGGCTCTCCTACCTCATGGCGTGAAATCTGGTCCTGGAGTTCCTGGATGTTACTGGTTGCTATCGGCTTGTCTTGGATCTCACGATGTGCACTCTCTATCATTTGCTGTAAATGTTTCATCTCTTGCTCATACTGCTCATACTGAACCACTGCTTCCTAAAGAAAAACAAAGAGAGTATCTACATGATAATAAATATTTACTTAGTCCAAGTATCACTGATCTCCCTTCTGAAGGGAAAAAAACTTACATCCAATGAGTTTTAAATCTTCTAAGGGCACATTATAAAAGGTTAAAAAATGTATCAGAAAGTTTCATATACAGTGTATGTAAACACTGCCATATCACATTGGCTTATTTTAAAATTCAAGAGTTTTTAAAAATTACTTTCCCCAAGCACACCTCTTAACTTGGAACTTCAAAGTAAAATACATTTTCTAATTGTCTCCATTTAGAATGTAGAGGCTAAATTTGCACATTTGAAGAAGAGGATCCAGTTGGTTTTCATACTTTTCTGCTTTTGAAGCACTAAAGTAGTGAAAGTTTGGTTTCAAATGCAGAGAAAGCAGAAAAAATTAATTATACAGGAGAAAACACAATTTTAGGAGTAAGCTTTTATTTACAGTATTTTTATAATTTCTCAATGTATTTAGTAGTTGGTAGACTAATGATTAACTCGGAATACTGAATTCTATTCTTAGTTCTGTCATTATCCTACTATCTATCTATCTATCTGATTTATTTTATTTCTCTCTATCTGATTTATTCTATTTCTCTCTTTAATTTTCCTGGAAAATGCAGGAGATGATTATTGCTATACAATCAGGACTGCAGTGAGTTTGATGCACAGTCACACAAAGGGAAAACACTAAATAAATCATAAGCAGGCTTTAACAGGACTACTACTTCATAATGAAAACTAATTTAATTTGAGAAGATTAACCTTACTGGAAATGTTACAGAACAACACCCTTAGAAGTTCTAAAAATAATTCTTGGCTTTCTTGTAGGTTCCAAAGGAAAAAAGAAAGCAAATGCAATGAGGAGCTCATTCAATAAGCTGTAAAGCCAAAAAATCACTTTGCCGTGGGTGACTTAGTTTGCTTGGTATAATTTATCCTGAACATTTATTTAAAAAGAAGTGACACCTTCATATTATAAGTATGGAGTAAAAGTTAAGATTCTATAATGCTCTGCAGTGAAAACAGTCACATCTGTTAATGACAAATCCACTAGCTGGCTTTCAAAATTGTGCATGGAATACAAAGATGGCAACAAGAAAATATGAAATTGATCACTACAGGACAGAACCTGGAATACTGCCATGGAAAAGACAGTCCATTCAGAAATATTGTGAACTGCAATGAACTCAATGGCTTAATGTATTTATTTCCAGCAAACAGCTCATATAAATGATTTTTTTAAATATCCAGTAAATATCCAGAGCTGGAACTTTTGTTTCCAACAAGCATGTGCAGCAAACATACCCACCAAAAGACTGCGTTGGCTATTCTCACAGTTTTACTGTGAGAATTTTCGTTTGCTTTTTTACTTCCAAGCCTCCATTTGTGAAATGGAAAGAATATATGAGAAACGTTAGACTTTTACAGAATCACCGAAAATATAGCTGGGAGGGGATTCGGAAGATTGATCCAGTCCAGCATCCTACCAGTGTAGTAACAATTCTATTTATCATAGATTCACCAGCTGTTTTAAAACCTTTCAGTGAATGACATCTGCATCCTCCCTTGTGCCATAAAAACCCTTAATGACGGAAAGCCTCTTCTGTTGTCTAACTTGAATCTCTCTAGTTGTACCTTAGCTCACTATCTACTCCTCTATCACCAAAGAAAAAAAGCTTATTCTATTCGTCTTTGAAACTTCCTCTTACATATTTAGGTATTAAGAAAAAGCCAACAATCAAACAAAAAATAATTCTCTTGTTTTCCGCAAAGACTGAAAATGGAAATTTAATATATAGTGAATGGCTAAGAAGCCAGAAAGCAAATATATAGAAATTTCAATTAAGAAAAAAGAAAAAATTCATGATTTTAGCCTAGAAAACTATTTAATTAACTCAACATTTTTCTATACAATTAATATAACCAGCTGATTTTATAATGATATAGTAAAATAAATTATGATAACTTATTATATATATAAAATTAACCTGCATACAATTGTGTATTAACTATTTGACTAGTTCATCTCAGCAGCATTACAGACTAATAGTAAGATACAGGAAAGAACTGGAATGAGAGTCAGATGAGTAAACTGACCAGCAGTATGATTATGAATGTTAAAACTCCCAAAAACACCGAGTCAGAAATGACTGAGACTTAGTGGGAAACTTCCTAATGATATCACACGGAAAAGAGCAATGCATAAAAATACGAACTCTGTTTTTATTGCAATTTGTGTGGCACTGTTCAAGTTAGTCAGAGTAATTTATGGGACAGGGTTGCACTTGCCTGCATTATGTTGCACTGCTGAATGGCTGTGTGCTGCAGACGGCTAGCCTCCTCCTGGAGCCTGAGGGCACTGTGACATATTGGCAGGCTGGTGACCACTTCTTCAGGAATCCTCAAGGCACTCTGGCAGACTTGTACTGCATGAACCTTTGGCTTTAATGACTCCATTTCAGACAACAGATGCTAGAAACAAAGTCAGTGCCACAGTAAGTCAGTTCTGCAGGACTCCCAGAACATTCAATGCAGCAAATGATAAATAAAGATGAGTTCAAGCACTAAAACAAACAATGAATTGGATTATCTGGCTGCTGCATGGAATGTAATCAGGACACACACTGTCTGGAGTTACTCATATATTCTTAAGTAAGCACTAGCTTAAAGTATTGGTTAAGCAAAAGGCCTACATAACAGGAATAAAACTAATTCATAAAAAAGCATACTAAATCCCTGTTATTAAGTGTCTAAGCATGAAGATATTTCTGTTAACTTGTTTGGGAAATATCTTAACAATCCACAAATCCAAGCTGGGCAGAAGTCATTTATGAACATGCATATTTTAATATTAAAATCCAAGTTGAACTCCCTGCTGAGACACAGAAGCACACTTTCAAAACAGCGCATGAATTCTGTTGTGTTCACAGTCTTCCTTTGAAAATGTAAACCGTGTCTGCAAACGTTATTTGAAATTCAAAAGGCAATCAAATGGAACAAAATATCGCTACACCAAACTCTTTCCCCTTGAATAATCATACCCTGGATGCCACTGTTAATAATCTCTATTTTTTTCACAGTGTTCGTTCAAGCTATCTGTTCATATGGAATGACTGGAGAATAGATTGGATCAGCCTTTTTTTCATCTTAACTGGGGAGTTTAATGTATTCACAGTTAGAAGAAGAAAAAACAAAACAAACAAACAAACACAAAAGTTAGGGTTGAAGAGAAGGGCCTTAGAACACGAGAAGAAGGTTTTAAGTTCAAACGAGTTAAATTGGCCAGACAACACTTGTGGTAAAAAGGGATGAAGGGCCCAGTTGTCTCCCTTCTCCAACACTGTATGTAGAAAGGTACCTCAGTGGGTCTGAAGTGCATGCTGATGAGAGAATTAGGATTTGCTCTTTATTTCTGAGCCTTTATGAAATATGGTGGATAATCTAAACAGAGACTTGATATAACGAGCTATTCTTCGGAGGCATCATACCAAGGTCTCTCCTCTGACAGGCCCCATGCTCCTGGGAAAGAATGCCTTTATCACGGAACTGACGCTGGGCCTTTTGATATTTTGTTTGTACTGGAAGACGAGGCCAGTTCAGGCTATGTATTATCCTTGCCACAAGAAACTCAGAAAGCTCTGACTTGGGTTATTTTTCTTGTCATGAGACTGAGACCGAAAATAACAAATCAACAAATCTCTACAGTAGGCCAGGTTCAACACAGAAAGCAGCAATATTTTATGCAGGTAATTCAATTAAACAAAAAAAGACTGAGCTTAAAGAAACCTGAGTTTTTTCTTAGCTTTCCAGTTGACTATTGGTAGAGCTAGCAAGTCACTAGATCCCTGCATCTCTATCAGCAAAATGGGGATAACATTCCAGACTTCTTTTTAAAGTCCTTTGAGAACCTGCTGATGAAAAGCACTGGATAAGAGCTAGCCTATATTGTCATTAATATGTATATATTATACAATAATAGGATATTTTATTAATAAAATACAAGATAAATAATTTTACTAATATATGTTTATATAATATTTTTATTAATTATAAAATAAATAAAGTTTAATAAGATACTAAAATAGATTAAAGTTTGACTGGAGTCACTATTCTTAGAAAACTGAGACTATCACTAATATATTAACATAATAATAGACCCATAAGGGATTATGTTTCAAACATTCCCCTTTGAGGGAGTAATTTCTCCCGTTCTACCCGTCATTCCCTTGGGAGTAACTTGAGGCTGGACTCAGATATACTGATTCTCTTTAAGAAACACCACAAATAGTCATACTAGCATTCATTATTCTTGGTATATGCTCACACTGCTCAAGTGCTAACTTTGAGGCCTTGCCCTTTTACCTGTCGGTGAGAAAGCTGCTCTTTCAAGCTCAAACGCCCAAGTTCTGGAGACGTCAGAGTGGCTTGGGCTTGCTCCAGAGCAGCCTGCAGGGCTCGCAGTTCAATTTCAAATTTCTTCATGTCCTATAATGGATTTAATTTGGTGATGAAAAAGCAAAAAAAAAAACACCATAAATGTATCTGTTCAGATTTTATAGTTGTGTCCCTTATTACACTGATAAAACTAATTGATAATTTTTAACAATGAAAAGTAAATGTTTAAAACATTGGAAAATTAAAATTATTACCTTAATATGTCCTCTAGTTTCCCCTTCTGTAATAAGACAGGACATAACTATCTGTCTTATCTTTAGAGACTGTTCTAAGAGACCACAAGCAGTGGAGTCCCTCTTATCTTACATTCCATTGTTTCAGTATTCTCATTTTGTAGAATTTGTTCCTGGTAGTTTAACCTGAGCCTATCTTTTGTTGCAATGTAAATCCTCTACTTACTAACCCACTAAAAACAGACATGAAGAACAAATTCACATATTAGGATAATCTCTTTACGTGTATCTTTTTCTCATTTTCTCTTATTCTGTTATCTTTATCCTGCTTTTTTCCCCCCAGTTTGATCCGTATCTTTCTTCAAGTGCAAAGCTGGCCACAGCTGAAACCTTGCCAGTGACCAATAGGTAGAGCAAAAGTAGTACTGCATGTAGATTGAAAGCATATCCTTTTATTTATCCTCTGCATAGTGTCTGGGATTTTTGCAACAATGCAACATTGTTCACTCATTTTACCACGGTGCATATTACTAAATTCAGGTCCTCTCTATAGAGTGTCTCTGGCCAGTAGATCCTCATCCAGATGTGGATGGCTGTTTCTGTCTAAATGTAACACTTTGCCCTTGTTCCTGTTGAACAGCAGCCTATTTTTTTTTTCAGGCTGTTATCTCCTATTTGCTAAAATCACTTGATTTTTAATTCTGTTCTCCAGTGGCAGTCCCTGTAAATTTTGTGTTATCTGAACCATTGCAAAGGCATGGTCTCTAAACCACCAACCAGTTCATTAATAAAAATATTGAATAATATCACACCCAAGAGAGAACCCTGAAAAACCCTACTTATATATCCCTCCATTTGGGCTGTGAACCATGGATAATTACATACCAGTAACCTTTCTAATAAGCTTTGCACCAAAGCTTATCACCTTTGTTAATAACATATGAAACATTATTAAAGTCAAGGTATATGACTTCTATTGTTCATTAATATACAAAGTCTGTTACTTTCTTGTTAAATTAGACTCTTTTGACATGATCTTTTTCTTCATACATCTGCATCTTCATCCTTCTATTCATCTCCAGGTTTTCTTGTGAGGGTTTACAAATAGTTTATTCAATTATTTGCTCCAATATTCCCCTGAGAAAGGAAGGTCAGCAGTTTCACTTCTACTACGCTTACTTGTATGCAAAACTCTGGTTTGTTCTATGAATAATAAAAATTAATAGCCTTCAGCTTTTAAACTGTTGCTTACAGATTTGTGCTTTTGCAATCAAAAGTCAAGCTTTGTTCCAAACCTCTCTGTTATACTGCTGTGGCTGCTGCAGATGCTGAATTTTTGCTACACCTTTAAATCTTGTAAGATAAGATAGAAATGTGGAAAAGGATCATTCTTAACCTTAACTGTTATTGTCCTAACTTTTGGTGATGGGACGTTTGCTTAGTTGCCTTTGCACATTATTCTCCTATTTAGCAATGTGTATCTGTAGCAGGTAACAACAGAATAAACCGCATAATCATACCAATTATACCATTCCAATATGCAATTTTTTTTCCTGAATTACTATCTCAATTATTAAAAAAAAAAGTAAAATTCTTGCCCTAAATGTAGGAACATCTTGAAAACACTTCTACTTCTACTTTTTCCTGTGTCTTGCCCCAGTTTACAATGCCCTCAGGCATTACTTAGGGACAACAGACATTAACATTCATAACACACCCATATGGAAGAGTTGCATAGAAATGTCAGTGACATGAAAAACATGTTCTCCCTTTTCAGTGCACCCACTTGAAGATGCAGGCCTTACAGCATGGAATCCTGGTCCGGTCCATTTGGTTGGAATTAATAGACAGCAGGTTACAGATACTTTTTAAGAGAAAGCTGAAAGAAACAGCACAGTCTAAATGCCATATTCTTCCCCTGGCACAGATATTTTGGGCTCAGTTCAAGCATCTGAACATAAGTGCTCAGTACCATCTGAGACATGCCGTGGCATAACTAGCAGACATGATAGAGGACCTATGGAAATCTTGTCCTCGTCTGGAGTTGGAGCTGAAGGCAAGGCAGGATACCCAACAGTATCTCAAACAGTGCGAGGCACCTGTTTTTAGACAGCATAATCATGCCTTTTACAGATCACAGATAACCTGCTCGGCTAATATTCACAGAAACATGATGCTGTTAGCATAAGCTGTCCTTTAGCTGTCAGTCAGCATTAGAAATGAGGTTTTCACACACCTTGGCAGCATCTTGGAGGTTTGGCAGCCTCACTTTGATAACTTGCTGTAATTCCTCTGTCCGCCGCCCCAGTTCCAACACTTGCTGAGACATTCCTTCAGTACAGTATACACTTGCTAAATATTCAGTCCTCTCACTCATGGCCTCGAGATCACCGTGAATATCTCCGGACTCTTCAAGCATAGCCTAGATAGAGATAGGAATAGAATTAAATGCCTGGGCTGAGGTTCAAATTAAGCTCATCTTTAAGTGCATTCCTGTTCAGCAAACTCTTCAATTTGTACACATCTGTAAGCATGTAATTAAGTTCTCCTGATTTCCTGCAAGGCTTAAGCAGTACACTTAATACTGAGCATAGGCTTAAGTGCTTCATCTTACAGGGACAGGGAAACAAAAGAGTAAGTCATGGCATTTTGGCAGCTGCATTTCTCAATACATTTAATGTTTTGCTATGCATACTTGCCTGTAAAATTATAATATACACAATCTACAGATATGATTTGATCTGAAAGCGTGATGCACCTAACAGGAAACAGCAGAAAGCACTCAGATGATAGCAGGGACAATAGTCATTAATACTGCCTAAAAAGTGGCTACCAAAGTGTTCTGTGGGATGGCACTGGCCAAGTCCACCTGCTTATCAACTCCTGAAGTCAGGGAAAAGCCATAGCAAAACCAGAAATGCAACCCCTCAGGATAAATTCCTCAGGATAAATCTCCTGGAGGGTCCTACTCAGAAGAAAGCGTGACAAAGCATCTTGCCCCAATGTAAGTGAATGCAGCTGACACATAATTAATAAACATATATATCAAACATAATTCATGAAGTTTTATTTTCACATTAGTGAGACATGAGCTTCTACCAGTTTGATTTGATTTATGCAGTCATGAAACACTGGGCAAGCTTGAAGCTTATTACCACGTGTTGCTCCACTGATCCCAAACTTACAGATAAACGTATGCACACAGAATAAACTGCACTATCACAGGGATAGTAAAATACTCTGATGTGGGATGTTCTGGAAACAACCGGAAAGGAGAAACTCACCCATTGAGTATCAGTCTGGAAACAGCGCGAAAGAAAGATGTTAGATGAAAACAAAAGCTTTTCTAATTTTAGCTTAAACCACAGAACTGCTTAGGGGGAAAAAAAATCCTGAAAACTGTGTTTGGCCAAACTAGCATTTATAATCTATTGTTGAACAGGGATCCTCTGGTGCCAGGAAAAAAAAAAAAATCACTGTGACCTTTTTCTAGACGAGTACTAGCTGCAAGGAGATACTCAGCATCTGCTATGTAGTTAAATCACACTGCTCAACCAAAAGTTGCTATGAAGCCAATGAGTCCGAGTCCAGGTAAGCACGGAGATCAAGCTTGAATCACATAGTTTTAGTCAACAATGCATCGTTATCTCAGTTCTCAAACCAATTGCTTAAAACAAATCTTTAAGACCTGGGAGACAGTCACAGAAACCTATTATTTTTGTAGACTCTTTTCCTTGAGGAAATGGGGCAAAAAAAAATAGGAAATAAGTTCAGGAAATAGCCACTTTTATACTTTGCTCCTCGAATTTTGAAGCTCATATAATCACCTGGTAGGCCTTAAACTGATCACGAAGCTGAGAGGCAGAATTCCATGTTATAGTACCGTGCACTAGGATATTTGCTTTCTCAATCCATTTCAGTATGAACTCCAGCATCTCGTTGTATTCTTCCAAATGTGAAGTAGCCTGGATATGAAAGACAGATACACTTGTTAAATCCAGGATGTAAATCTGTACATTTCTCAGAAAATGACAAAATTACTTTTATTTCATTTATCATTTTTAATTTTGGGGATCATTTTAATACCTTTTCCTTATTATTGAATATAGTCTAACTAATTCTGTATTTATGAAGTTAAAATACGTCTGCTTCAAAAAATAAGCACATCTATTTCAGGCGAAAAAAGTCATCAAAAGAATGTAGGTCAGTCACACTGGGAGAGTGCACTGGTGCTGCTACACATCCCTATAGGATACACTTCCTGCACATATTTGAGCCTCACACATGAGCTGCAAATACCTTCTTTCTCAACCTGTAGTTCACTGGAAGTCTTTTTTATGCCATTCCTTATGTTTATTTGTCTCTTGCCATGTCATTCCCCAGATCACTTTTATTTATAATCTGCTTTGTTCTCTGAGCCGATCATCTTTCCAGAAAGAAGACTGATTTTTTTTTTTTTTGAAATATAACACAAAAAAAAATGCTCTGCTTTCTGATTCATCCGGTTTCTAGTTAGCAAGTACCTATTAGTTCCAATTCTCTTCTCACTTTCTCAGAGTAACTTCACTGATTTTCCTGAGTATCTTTTATATGAAGGGTGTATCAAATTCTAGAGCTAGGTGCCTGAGCTGTATTTGTATGCAGTGTTTGCCTTGACCGCACATCTTTTATGATAGGAAGTGTGTTTCTTAGTGCTGAATAAAAAAATCCTAGCAGTTAAATCCCTTCAACCAAGCACCTTTGGACTGAACTGTTATTTTGATGGCCATTTTCTATCTGTTTCTGATAATAATTTTTCAGAGGGAACTGAAACTGAAAAGAATGCTATGAAATAATTATATTTTCCAAGCCTCATAGAAGCTTCTTTATGCATGCAGAAAAGAGAACTCATGATTTATCACGCTATTGATGGCAGAACCATAGCAAATCCCTTTTCTTGCTTTTAACTAGACTGTTTTTGAATAACAACAATTAGCAAAATGCTTAAGGAAGGGTTTCAGGGACTTTGAACCTTGAGAACAACAGGGAAAGTATCTTTATGAATGCTCTAGTGTTGCATAAAGACACATAGAATTACAGGGCCATTGTTTCTAGGCTTTTCTATGGAATATACAAATTATATTCATCCTGTATAGGTCGTGACTAGAGCAAAACAAACTCCTTTTTCATATAAAGCTGTAGATATAGGTAACAGTAATACGACAAAGGCCCAGAAAAACAAAATGAGACTGTATTTCCTGGCATGCCACTGTTGGAAGGCAGGTCTGAAACCTGTTCAGGACACCAGAGGAACCAACAGGCAGATGCTTCATGGAAGAGCACCCTAAAGCAGTGTAACACAAAAACAGAGTTACTTCACCCTACTTATTCGACCCCAGTCTGTGCCCCTCTCTGAGATATAAGCCCTGACTATGAATAGGCAGACATGCCAAGGAACGCCCCTTGACATGGAAGTTTTCATGCTCCCTCTGCTTCTGAAAGGAAATGACAAGGAGGATTTGGGACCGTACCTGACTGAGCTTGGCTGCTCTGTATTCAGCCTGCCGCACGGTCTGCTGGTGAAGCGCAGTGAGTTTCCCTATTCTGTTAGCCAGCTGCTTAGCCAGAGGGACATTCTGCTCCGCAAAATCCTGGACTGATGCATCTAATTCCACCAGCTTTATATTGCAGCTGTCCAATTCTTCACCCAGAATCTAGACAGAAAAACAAGAAAATCGGTGAGCCAGGATGTGTTAGCTTTCTGGCTGATTATTTCTATTCTGATTTGCAACTTCTAAACCCAGTCCAAAGTCTCCATAGTTTTTTCCATTTTTTGTTTTGGCTGTAAATCAACAATGCTTGTTTAAGCAGGAAGGCAGAGCAGCAGGATGTTTGATCATCTCTTAAATGTGTGCTATTACTTTTTCTTCTCTGACTTCCTGGCTGAAACGGATAACATTTTCCCTATCATACCAAAAGACCAAGTCGCTTTAGAGTGATGTTAACTGTTCTTGGCCACCTTTCTTTTGCACTGCACGATAAGGATTCTTGTTTATTTGAAAGGGGTATTTTTCTTGTTCTGTTATTTTTTTTGAAATAAAATATAACCTTACCAACTCAGAACTGCCTAGTTACTCATTAATGTTTTATAAAAATTTTGCATTTTCACACCTCAATCTTGACACAGGAGCAGTCTAGATAACGCTAGACTGTTTCAATGGAGACAGATTTTAAAATCAATTTTGTTACTATACTTACAACAAGTTGAAAAAAGAAATCTAAAAGATTAGATATAGACTGATAACACATTTAATGGCTACAATTTCTTGAGCGAGAGTTTTTGGAGTTTTTTGGCCTTTTTTCTAGACCTAAGTTAATGATTCACTGGTTTTGTAATTTAAAAGAAAGAAACCTCATCAAGCACTAAAGTCTCCTTACATTTTTTTTTAAGAAATATAAATTTAAATCACAAGACAAAAAAACTGATACAGAACTAACACTACTCTGGCTGCAATAAAACATATATAATCCCATCATGAATTCAATAACAGTTTCATTTTCTTGTGGTGAAGGCAGCACTTCAAGCTCTTTAGGTCCTGGCTGTCCTGGCAGAGACACATTAGAGTGTAAGTTATGACCAGCTGTTCATGATAAATGAATATTATTGCATGAACAGTAGCATGACTTTGTGATACAACTATCTACATGCAGATAAGAAAACGAACGTTTGTTATCTACCCACTTAAATACAAAGACATACATATTTCAGTATGACATAAATAAATGTCTGTATTATAGAAATAAATGATGCAGATTGTATGTAATTTGTAAAGGTGGGGAAAGGATTTAAAAAAATTTTTATTTCACTTATCTCAATCATAGTTTCAAGGTTAATATCAAAAATATTTACTACTGTGATCAAAGCCAGCTCAGTCTCGTGAGTATCAGCCAAGAACTGACATAAATGCAGTTGAGAAAACTTTACTAAATCTCCAGTGACATGGAGGTCTAATCTATGCAACATGGGAATGCACATTTCACTGGGTTTCTGCTCAATTACTAGGGCCAAGGCGATGCACCAATTTTAATGGGATGTATTTCAGTGTCTGTTTCTGGCAAAAATGGAAATTTGGAGTATATTTATAGCAAATCATGAAAATAAATTGCTAACTTTTTGACGTATCAGGCATACCCAGTCTTCTCCTACTTGGTATGCTATGCTTACTTTAAGACAGTAACCAGGTCAAGTTTATCTTTCACTAGTAAAAAAATCTGCCTTCATATAATAAACCTAACTTGGCCATCATGCCTCAGTACACACAAGCATTTCTGAGTGTGGTACACATCTAATAGGCCAGAAAACCCATAAGAAAAATCAAGAGAGCTTTTACATTACCCTTAACCACACCAGCAGTACTTTTCTTTACTACTGTACCAAATGATATGAGTTAGACTACTGGCTAAGCAAAATTCTATTTATCACAAGTAAAGCTGGACTGTAAAGAAAGGTATTTTCAGTACAGACTGAAACAAGGAGCAGTCTGAAAGCCTCTTAGGCTCCTCAAATTGCAATCAGAGTCATTATTTAGAGGGAACAGCTTACTTTTGGCCATCTGACTTGCTTTTGCTCCCAGCTGCTCCCCCGAAGCTCAGTTTTGGGCCAGTATGCAAAGAACACATTTCTAAAAATCTCAGTCAATCCTTATTTTTGCCTGTTCTTCTATCAGACTACATTAAAAAAGGTCTCATGTGACTCTACACATACATCTTTGATACAAAAGAAAAGTCCCAGGTCAGAAGGGTTTATGGTGTAATCAAATAAGGAAAGCCTTTTCTTACCTTCTGCTCAAGTTTAGCTTGTGCTATATCATTGGTTTTCTTCTTCAGTTTGGAAAGAATTGAATTTAGTTCATTTGCTATCCCCTGGATTTTCTGACCAAACTCCTCATTTAATGTTTTGATCTGTTGGGTTTCTTTCTCTTTGCTTTGAATCTGTCAACAATAAGGATTAAATTCAATAAGCAGAAATCTTTCCTCTTGACAGGAAACTAACTTACTTTAAACTTTCTCTGTTAAAGAAAGAAGACACTAAGACTACTCTACATAGTCATATTTGACCATGCTTGGATATTACATCTCATTAAGTTCTGAAGTCTAAAGAAGTGCCATAAATTTGTGATGCATTTATCCGCTATGTTTTACCTGATCTTGTATAGTTACAAGGGCCAGCCCAACTTCTGCTAAGTGAAGAGAGAGTTCAGAAGGCAAAATGGTATAAAGACCCAAGTACTTATTCTGTTGTTGTTCAGCCATTTTTTCCACAGCCTGGCGATGAGCAGTTACTTCATTGAGGAGAGACTAAATGACAGAAAAAGGAATTGTTAAAGAACAATGGAAAAAATGTTACATCTGTGCAAACTTAGCAAAAGCAGACATTGATCACAGTTTGCAACAATGCAACATTTCAGTTTAATCAGTTGTTTAAAAGGGATTATATCTTGAGATTGGCTGGATTCTCATTTAGGAGGGTCTGTCTAGTTGTGTATTCCTGTGTGACCGCACGCATATGGAAAGTGTTGAGTTTTCAGCATATCCATTTAAAGCAGTTTATTTTAGTTTAGTTTTTTTTTCAAGAAGATGGAGATGGAAAAAAAATGTCACATACTATAGCTCCCCTATGTTTTAGATGAGTGTATGCTCATCTACAACATCAACAGTATGCTAGGTATGTAAATGTACATAAATGAAAATATTTAAACATACCTTAAATACATTTAAAATAAGGTATTATGGCCCATTAATTTACATGTCTAACTTAAATCTGCTGTGGTTTTGGACTGATTAATACTCAGAAAATCACAATTAAGGTACATTAGAAACACTGTATTTTGGAAATTAATAAATTTGATATACCTGCAACTCCTGAAGTTGAGTATCCACTTCCATATCAGGGTTTAACAAATATTCTTTTGTTTCCTGGATCCAGGACTTCACAGTATTAATCTCTGCTTCAACCGCCTCACGTTCCTTCAGCTCCTGTTTCACTAGCTTCATGCCTTTTTTCACTTTCTGTTGCATACTTCAGAAACAAAAAAAACAACAATTATTTGTGAATAATACTCTTTATTTCTAAATTTCATGTATTCATTATTATATTATATTATTCAATGTTTTCCTTATTTGCTTCTAAAAACATTGCTTTGTCAAAAACTGTTGAAAAATAAAGAGAATGATGAATAGCCACACATCCAGAGTAATAAAAAGTGGAGGAGCGTTGCAAAAGACTACTAAAGTAGCAGTCATTCTAAGTTTCTCATGTTCATTCTCCAGTACATCCCTTTTAATTAGCAGTTTTATGCATTTGACATCTACTGCACAATTCATCTGAACAAATGCAAATGTTTACAGCATAGACATCTACATTGTGAGCTCATGATCACAGACTGTCCCTATTGTTAATGGAAGAAACAGGCAATTCTAGGGCATGATTTTGGATGATTCATCATTATCCTAAAAGAAACTTCTATAGTAGGTCAGAAAAACTGCAGTTCAGACCTGTCTATTTCTCCCCACTAACTAGAGAGGATTAACCAGTTCAGATGCAGATATCTAATATAGAGTAATGTAAGATAAATTCGACCCCTACTGATGAGATTTGCCTTGGCAGAATAGCTTGGATAAGGCATGGATCAACCATTCGAACATAATCTTTGATCTTGGGACCTTCCTCCACACTTCCACACTTTCCTCAAGAATGTGGACCTCTTAAACAAATCAGAATCATTTTTTCAGAAGATAACGTGATGAAATATCTACAGGCCTAGAGTTTGTAGCTCTTCTCTATTTGACAAGGATCTAACTTTCATAGGTTTCTTAGGTTTCAAAATCTAAACAGGTTTTATGTTTGTATAGTCTTTCAAAACTGAATCATGTGGTATTTACAGGAGCATGAGAAAATTTCAGATTCTATTTCTTTGAAATCAGTTCCAAGTGAAGAGTGGAATTACAAAAGTGCTAATATCTATACATTTTCTACAGAGACTGCTATTCTACTATAAACAGTTAAGCATGCACACAGTGAACTTTGCACAGGCTAGGTGCACGTTTACAGTTTTTGCATTCTCTCTCTCTGTGCACTGTGGAGATCCCGTTAATAGCATCTTGGTACAGGTAAGAGATGGATACGAGACCTGATCCTTAGCCAGAAAACTTCCTGCTTTACAAATGGCAGAGAAAGACTTTAAAACACATTTAAAAAAACATGCAGATAAGCACAGGATGAAATTTTAAAACGTGTTCTGTTTGCCTATAAACTAAATTCCCCTGCACACTTCACAGGGTGACTACTTTTCATTACCGAAACACTTCAAAGTGGCACAAAGTGATAAATGAATCTAAACTTAGGAAAGAAAAAGACAGAGGGTCACTGCTAACGTTGAGATGTAATGGAAGCGTGTAAAATTGCTTATAACTTTAATGCAGTTCACACTCTTACATAAGCTGCTATTTTTAATATAAGACAGAAAGTATATATACTAAAATACATACTCCTGCCTGATGCAAAAAAAAATGATGGTGAAAAATTATGTTTCCAAATTAATTAAAGCTCCTTTAAAATTTAACTAATATTTAAGTATGATTGCCATTATTAATGAAAATAAAAATAATGAATGAACTTTAATTAATGAATTAATTGTAAGATACAATTTTTCTAGTGAATCTCTTTAAATATTGCCTTACTTGTGGCATCGATCTTGCATTGCTTTAATTTCTTGCATGACTGGTAGCTCTTCCTGAGAAGGAGGCTGCACTTCCACATCCTGAAGCAAGCTCACAGCGTGCTGTTTGAGCAGGCCCAAAGATGACAGTTGGTGCTCCACCTCCAAAAGAAAACTGCTGTGGTAATCCAGGAGTTCTAGGAGCTCCGTCTTAGATGCCTTTTCTGCTGAACTTTCTGGTAGGCGACCTTGTAGCTGATCTATTGCTATGGTGGCTCTCTGAATCTAAGGAAAGAGATGCAGTCTTGCCAGTGATTAAACTAAAAAAAGAAATTAATACAACAGATACCAAAAGATACTAAACCCAGTGCTATATGTTTAGACTCCATAAAACAGTTGTGGTATAGGGCTGATGCAATAGTTTTTGTAGCAGAAATAAATCTGCACCCTAATGCTGCTAACTCTAGCTAGCTAGCCCTAGGTCCTCAGAGTAGCCCGGGACCTGCGAAGGGAGTATTTTGTTGGGTGATTAATGGCTCCTTCCATTTTTAGCATTTATTATTTTTATTGACATAGGACCTATAGCTCTAACCCAGGGCAGGACCCTGTTTGGCATGAGTCACACATTTAACCGAAAGATTATCCCATTCCCAAAGAACCTGCAATCTGGGCATAAAATAGCAGACAATGCCAGATAAAGAGACCGGCTGGATATAAGGAAAGAAGACAGGATCCGTAAGCAGTGAGAGGCAATGATATCAGTGCACAAACTTAGAAGTAGCAACACTGCGTTCTTCAGAAGAAAGAGATTGATTTAATCTAGACTGGACCATTTGGGGAAGGGAAATAAAGTTTCTCAAGAACTACCAGAAACCGCGACAATTCTCTTAAAACAATTCACTTAAAACAGCTCTGTATTTAGTGCACATGTATACATATAGAAGAATAGTGCAAGCCTACTCTTCTACATGTATAAGCAGTGGTTCTAAACTAGGGTCTTTCATGGCTGGTTGTTTGTGACCTGACATAAATTACTGTGCTTACGATGCTCAGCTTTCTCTACCAAAAATGATTAATAAAAAAATTGACTTGTTTGTTTCATAAGACTTAGTTATAATCTGTACTCAAAGTCTGTAGCAGGCTGTGTTAAGTAGTGAAAACCCATGTACAGTTATAAAAGGAGTTAATAAGACCAAGAGTTACCTTGTCATTAAAACCCTTCCATCCCAGCACTGCATCTTCCAAAATTTTCTCTTGTTCTTGGGCTACATTCCGGAGCCGTGTCCAGCGCTGCCAAACTGTTGTCATTGATCTGCTTATAGTTGCCTTACTGGCATCATTGCTAACTTTTTCCAGCTGCGAAGCCTTTTCTTCTAGGGCTGTGATCTTCTCATGGAAAGAGTTCACTACAGACACAAGGGTCTGAAAACGAAAAAATAAGCACTAAGGTTTCCTTTTTTATAATACAAATTGTAACTTCTTGACACACTTGCAGGCAGATAAGCCATTTCAATCCACTGTAGACAAAAAGGAGGTCCCTATGGTGAATGGGTTAGTTAGATCTCACTGTGTTTTTCATATGCAATATGTTAGCTACAGCTATCTGAAGGACCTGGTCCAGAATGCAGTTCTCTGAAAGCAGCAGAAATCTGGTGCATACCTCATTTTCTTTTCCTTGCTATCCCTTCAAAAGAGAAGGGGATGAGTATTTAGGAAATTTCTCATAGCAAAGACTCCAATTTATAAGAGTGCTTAAAAAATTAAGGAAGCAATTCAGGTCCTTTACACCATGTTTATGTCTAGCGCCATTTTAGATGTTCTAGGGCATAAATATACCCTCACAGACCTAGCAGACAGGACACTGCTCTTCAAGGAGATCTGAAGGACTTTAAGTTTAAAAAGCAAACCTTTTCCATATGACACAAAAGGAGACGAAAGTTTCTATGTTCTGAATTTTGTGTAAGGTAGTCAAAGGACATGAGACTGTTAGGAACCTCTTGGCCTCTTCAGTCCTCTACAGTCATAGGCATATAGACAGATGCTAAATTGAAAAGGGTTTACAAAGTGTTTGTCCACATCTCTTGATATACTATGATATAGTCAAGAGCTACAGGAAAAGATCTAAAAACTCAACTTCAGGTTGCCACAGGTAGGGAGCTAGAGAGAGAAACTTATTTTTACTGAAGGAAAAAGAACTTAATTTCATTTTCAGTACCTTACCTTATGTGTCAACAATTTCTGTTCAGCTTCATGAGAAGAAGCCGCTTTAGCAACTGAGAATTCAGATAATTTTTTCTCAGCCTCATTCATCACTTCAATAACCTTCTGTCTTGCTGTCTGGTACTCCTGCCACTCAGAAGCACACCTTAAATAAATGGAACATCAGAAATAACAACTTAATGTGGTACAAAACCATTTCAAATAGGAGTATTGTTGCACTAGTTTTCAATTTAACCACTTTTGCTATGCTGTTATACAGTATTTTCCAAGAAAAGAAAGATTATTAGGAAAGAGCACACATACAGAAGCCTATCCCGATCGTCAGCTGAGGCTTAGAAACCTATCAGAAACTGTAGTCACAACTTTGCATTTAAAACCCCATGATGGACGTTTCTTCAGTGAATTTGTCTAAGTTGTGTTTTAAACCCATTCTAACTTTTGGTGTCCAGAACATTCTGGGATAAGAAGTTACATAGTTATGTTGGGTAAAAAGGTATTTTCTTTTCTTTTAAAATATCTGCTTCAATTTCCTTTGTTGCTCTGCAGTTCCTGTGCAATGAGGAATAATGGATAATCATTTCCTGTTAATTTTCTCTGTTTTGTTCAAAATTTTATATAACTTTATCATAGGTTCCTAAAGGTCAGGTTAGTCAGTGGCAGAAACGAAAACAGAATCCAAGAATTCTGAATCCCAGTATCCACTTCTGTCATCAATAGCACAAACATTTTACAAAACTCCAGTTAGGTTAAGAGTCAAGTGTTGTGATCTCTTTATTTCATCATCAAGGTGTTTTGAAGAGAAAGAAAAAGAAGGAAATAAAAGAAAATAAAGAAGGAAAGAGAGAAAAAAAGAAATACCTTTGCAATTGTTCTTGCTGGGTGTCAGCTTCTTGCTTTGTCCCCTTGCCCTTTTCCTCCAATGCAGCTATATCCTGCCCCAGTTGCTCTCTTGCTGTAGCTTGGATAAATGGTTCTATCTCAGATGCCAGGCCCTGTAATTCTTCCATATGGTTACTGAATTGACTTTCTGTGCTGAAAAATTCAACGTGGTTCCTCAGGTTCTCCTCAGAGTTCTCGACATCAAGACCATTCCTTGCTAAATGTAGCAATTCCTGAGCATCCTCAAGCCAGTCATTTGCTATCTGCATCACTTGGTAGTATCTTTGGCAGAGACTGTATAGTTTGTTCAAGGTAGCCTGGAATAAAAGTGAAAATTGTATACAGGATCACAGACATAACAAGCCGCAACAGCAACAAAAATATCCTCAGCAGAGAGTTTGCATTTTGCCCACGCTTGCTTTCTCTTCCCTTTACTATGTCAAAATACAGGTCCTGAAAGGCCACGTGGAGGCAGGTTTTGAGTGACTTTGCATTTCTGCATGCATGTATATATGCATATTGAGGAAGTCTCACTCTCCCTACAGCCACCCATGGCAGCAAGCCACAGTCTAAGATGCTAAAAAACAGAAAAAGAGAGAATACTAAGATCAATCTTTTCATGATGATTACAGATATCAAGCAAAAGCCATTTTTTTCAGCTTGGTGAGCAAGAAACTAATGACACTGAGGATGCACAAACCTGTCTCATGTTTATAGCTTCTTGAACTTCACCGTCTAGTTCTGTCAGCTCAGCAAGAGTGTTTTCCAGGTCAGCAGGTATCAGCTCTTTGGCTTTCATATATCTTTCTTTCTCTTTATTGCTTAGTGCATTCATTATTCTCAGGCTTGACTGTACTTCTTCCTGATGTATCTGAACCTTGCGGATTTCTTCTTGGATATTTTGCAGTTTGAGGTCCAAACTTAATGTTCCATTAAGCTCTGCTTTCACCCACCTCAACCAGTCAAGCGAGCGGCAGATTTCTGTCTGGAAGTCTATGCTTTGTACAAGTCTGTTCTCACACTCCATCACTGTGTCACCAATGGCAGCATGCAATGACTTTAGTGTCTCTTGCCAAGACTGCACCTGGTGATTGATTGTCTCGCAAGCAGATGGGTCAAGCTGAGGAGAAAGGGATTCTAGATGTTCACTTATCCGCTTCAAAAGGATCCCGGAGTCTTGCAAGCTGCCTGCCAGAGAATGGTATATTTTCAACTTTTCTTCTATTGGGAGCGTTTCCTCATTCACCTTAATCTGTTCTTTCTGGACTGTCTCTAGTTGTGTCTTGAGCTGCATGCACATTTTCTCATGTTCCTGGCATGCTTCTATTGTGTCTTCCAAAAGGTTGATTTTCTGTTCTATTTGCCTTTTCAGCTTGTGATACAGTGTGAAAAGTTTTAGTATTTCATCTGGTTGCCATGGCTGGCCAGTGCTTCGAAAGGCCTCCTTCTTCTGGTTCAGCTCATCCACTGCTGCACCAAGGCTCACCAGTTCACCTAAGAGATCTCTGTAAGCCTGCTGGAGAGACACAACTTCTTTGGCTAAAACAGCAGCTGGAGCTTTGTCCATGTTAATAAACTGATCTTCTAGCTCACTCAGAGCTTTAGTGGTCAGCTCAATCAAAGAGGTATATTCTTTTCGGGCATAAATTGCTTCCTGAGCCTTATAGAATTTATCTTTTGCCAGGGCAATGACAATATTGAATTGCTGAGGAAGCATGTTAAGCTTTTCATCCAGATATGAATGATCCACATCATTAAGTGATGGCAGGATTTCTTGGCCATCTCTTTGCAGTGAAAGTAGCAGATTTTCATATTCTGGAGACTGTTCAAGAATCTGTTGATATTTTGCCAACTGGGTGTATAGTTCACGGTTACTATTCATTACATTGACTTCTGGGAATGTGACAATATCAGCTTGTTTTAGCCAATGGCAGGCTTTATCCAAATCTTCTTTGAAATATTTCCTGGAAACTATGTTTTTCTCAAGTTCTAACAATCTCTGGCTACACTTTTGTAAAACAGTGTCATATACATTCTGTAGTTCCTGCAGTTTACCTAACACTTCATTCTTTTCTTGCTCGGTTGCTTCTTTCATTAAATCCCTTCCTTGAGCCCACAGCCCAGTGACTTCATTTTGACAGGCCTTCAAGTTAGCTTGGGCATTCTTACAAGTCCTGATCTGTTTGTTCACATCTTCAGGCAACAGACAGATATGTTCTGGAAACGTTACTTTCTTTTCATGCTGGTGAATTTGGTTTGTGGCCTGAAAGACCGCCATGAGAAACTGAGTCTTTTCAGACAGTGCTTTATTCAGGTGCTTTCTTCTCTGGCCAACCAGATCGCTGAGACAATCTACATGGTGCTGTGCATCAGAAAGTGCTTTCTGCAGCTGCTGCCTTTCATTGAGCCCTAGATTGGTCATCACCCTGTCAGCATCCTTCACAAGGGTCTTGAGAACAAGCTGCTTGGCTTCAAGCTCACTACAAATGCTAAGATGATCCACGAGAAGACTCTGAGCCATATCTGGAGGAGGGCTCTGTTTAAGAGCCTCTGAAATACTAGGTTGCTGCTCCTCTGCCCACTCCATTAGTTCCTGAAATTTAGAATGAACCAAACTGAGCTCTTCTAAGGTTGCTATAGAAACTTGAATTTTTCTCTTCACAAGATCCTCCAACTGAGTCCAGCGTTGCTCGAAATGACCAAATTGCTCTTTTACTAATTCTTTGTCATCAAGATTCAAATGTTCTATTATTTTCTGTTTTTGATCTTTCAAATCTTCAAGAGCAAATCTCCTCTCCTGTAGTGCCAGTGCCATTTTTTGCAAAGCTTCAAGATGCACATTTGTACTCTCAGCATCAGACCTGTTATCAAAATGCACAGAACAGAAATGCATGATGAGATCCTATCTCAGGTCAGAATTTTAAAAGAGGTCAAAGTGAATTATAAGCATGCTACATACTGAAATCAATATAATTTAAGTATATAAGGCTTTCAGATACCAGCCTTGAACATTAATTAAAAAATTTAACATTTTTATTCCTCTCTCTTTCATCTGCAATGCAGTCATTGGGTTGACTATCCAAATCAATGTGACTCATACTGCATACCTGCCGTAACACATACAAAGAACAACAAAAAGTACCAAAGACAAGAGAATCTTGTCCAATGACTACAATAATAGCAGTAGTAGACTCCAAACTTCTACACGCACAGACTGTGTGTTTATGCTATATACAAATGGAAAACAACTGCAATAATTTAGCAGCAGTAACTAAGCTATAATGGTCTAATAAATAAAACATTGATAATAAACAAAAATGAAAAAGTTCAAACAAAATGGTCAAAGTACTACAAATATCAGCAAATGCTATACCCTGAGATGGGATCAGTCAGTACTTGCCTTAAAGACAAGCACTGAAGATCTGCTTCTCAAATTCTCTTTATTTCAATAAAAGTAATTTTGTTATAATTAATAAAGGAGGCTTGCTTTTAATAAGAACAGAAAAAGGGATTTTTAGCGGATCCAATTTAGAGAGACTCTGTAAATAGCTCTTTCAGTGTACATGCAGCATGTAAGCTTTGCGTGTGCTACTCCTTTTTTACCTAGCCAAGTTGTCCCACTCTTTTGTAAACTTTTCCAAGAAAACTTCTACTACGTTCATGCGATCATGATAATCCCCAGTCCTCTGCAGATCCTCCTCCCTTTGTATGAGCAAACTGTGTGCCTGAAGGCAGAGGTCCAGCCACTGGTTGCTTAACTGTCCTATTTCCTTTTGTTCAGGTGATTCCTGTCCTTGGGTTAGTTTGTTCATCTTTTCAGTCACAGCGGTAAGAGCTGACTGTTTAGACTGCAACTTCTGACTGAATTCCTGAAAGAGACACGAACCAAAATCAATATGGGGATACATATTTGAAAATATAAGATGGAATGTAAATAACAACTCTCTCTCTATACAAATATACTGTGTGGGGACTCATTATCTGCCCAGCCTTATATACCTGTGCAAATTAAATTGGAAGAACCTTCTCCCCTCTCCTGACCTTTCTCTCCAACCTCCTCAGCACAGGAGCAGGGTGCGAAGGCAAGCCAGAATAGTTTCCCAGTGCCAGTGATACAGAGGAATCACAACCACATCACACTCCGTTCTCTGGGCTCTTGCTTGGACTAGCACAGCTTCCCTCTGTACCTCACAGTATGTAGGCTAAAGGTTTCATGAGAATTCATCCTAGCAATACTGTCTCTGCTTCATTTTTTTCTTTTCTTTTTCTTTTTTATTAGAGACTAAAAATAGGAGCCAGAGTTCATGAGTCAGTCAGCCCCCATACCCTTATTTTGTTTTGTTCCTACTCCAATGGTGATTGTTATTGCTGTAATTATTGAAATGAAGCCAACGATTATTCAGGTATCATTGCTGTATGAGTTAATAAACTGCAGTAGATGAAGGATCTTATCTGCATACACATTTCTTACTGAATAAGAAGTCTCAGAGAACCCCAAAATAAAACATACAATAGATGGACAACTAACATTTACCAAATATTTTTTCACATTTACACAGTCTCTAGGATAAATACAATTTTTTCTCAAATTCTAGTTCAAACAACTGTAACTAAATAACCATGCCCAGCTGCAGCATTTTGCTGGGATGGTGCCATTTCATGAGGCCTGATAGGAGTTCTGGATAAGAGACACTACTGCCTAGGCTGTGCCTCCTCCCTCTTTGAGACTACCTCAAAAGGAGCTAGGCATCTGAATATGCAAGGGAAAATAAAAGGAAAAAATACACATTGTGTCACATCTGATTGTATAGAAGGTGCCTGCTGTTGATAATAATCCCAACTGCAATAGTGAGGAAACAGACTCCTGTCTCTTCCTGGACCCCATTTAATGATAACAGGTCTTAATCTTGCATTATTCTGAGATAACTTCAAGGTCTATGACTATGTTCAAACCCTGCTGGAGCACAAACATGAGGAGGAAGTGTTCTGTGCCTTTCACCTAACTCCTAGCATATCAGAAAAAAAAAAAAAAAACACAAGCAAAATCTAATCCAAAAATGCAAAACCAAAGCTTCTACATCATTTATCACAGAAATAATTTATTTTTCTGTTTCTTCTCATCACCTTCTTGGTGTGCTGAATACCTGTAAAATGGCAGAGGAAATTATCTCTTCTCTCAATGACTAAGAATAAAGGAAGATCTGCAGTTATTTATCTCACTACTTAAGGCAAATTAGATAAGCTTTCTATTATACCTACTCTTCAGTTATTTTCAGAATTCACCATCACTGAATAGTTGCCTAGACAGATTTTGAAATAGATCTAAATAATTTACAAGTATTGGAATCAAAGAACTTAGGGAGCTCAGATCCAGTGCAATAAGCAATTAGCCTATTAAAAGTGAAAGTAAACCAGAACAGTAAACTGCAAATTGTCTTGTATTTAAAAACGGAAAAATTTTGAAGTACCGTGTTTTGCTCTCCTACAGCATCAGTATGGAAACTGACCTTCCTCTGTCTTCTCTGCTCTCGCTCTTACAGAATTAGAACGTATTACTGAGTATATGCAATACTTGCATGTAACGAGTATTGTAATAAAATTAGCTGCAGGATGAACAACTTTATCTTGTTCTTAACCCAAAGACTCCTTACCTTAACCTGGAGTACCATATTCTGGGCAATATTAAGTTCCAGTTCTGCCCGTCTCCTTTTCAAATTCTGTAGTTGTTGGTCTGCATCCTGGAAATATATCCAGAGCTCAGCCTTCATTTGTTTGATCTCTTCCCAACCTTGAGCCAAATACTGTGAGTGCATTATCTGTTGCTCAATCTAGAAGAAAAGAAATGAAAAAGAGTAGGAATGCTGTAATGCAGCTATTTTTGGAAAATGGAGGATAAATACCATTCTTTCTGAGAGCACAATATTGTACTCACAGCAAATCCCTGTATTAGATTTTGAGGGGCTAATATTATTCACAAAAAAAAAAAAAAAAAAAGATTCAATCTTCAAAAGTCATAAAAACCAGACCTATGCAAGGAAATCTGTGAAAAAAAAGAATTCTGACTCACTTTTGAGAGAAGCAAGTATATTTATATGTGTGTGTATTTCAAAGTGTTCTAAGTTTCCTGTTAAAGATTAAATTAACTGTATAATTAACTTAATCTATTGCATGCTAAGAATACTACTGGACTGTGCTCTACATGCCTTCTCAATGACCAAGTGAGAGCTTAAACTATACACTTTCATTTAATTTGCCTAGACCAATTCTTTTGCCTATATGTCTTTTGTAAAATGCCAGTAAGAATGCTTACTCGGTCTGAGCCCATCAATCACCTTAAACCAATAATAACACAGCTTCATTTGCTCCAAATATAGCAGTAGGGTGCTCAAACAGCTTACTATATCTCAGTACTATCCTATCTCTGACTTTTTTTATGTTTCACTGCTTCACATATGAAAGGAGAATCTTACTCTGACGTTTGGAATGCCTTTTAGCTATTCAATATTTGGATTACATTTTTTAATGGATTGCATAGATTTATACAATTTATTTCTCTGGTATGGAATATGGTTACTGTATGTATTAGATTTTTACTTTCAATAGAAGAAGTTCAAAAAGTTTTCCATGAAACACGATAACCTCCATGTTTATAACAACAAAAATGCTATTAATATTTCTTTGCTAATAGCTCTTATGTTTATGATTTTGTTTTAAAATTCAGGTATTCAGCTACTTGAAAATTTTAAAAAATGAGGTACACTTCAATTAGTTCATATGCTGAACTAGATGCACTCTGTGAGTAAATTAAATAGACCTATGAATTGAACTACCACAGAAGATTTTATGATGATTATAATGACTATATCATATTTCCTAGTAAGACTATCAGCCTACTGTTGAATAAATAATAACATGAAAATATGTCTAAACTTTCATAAAATAAACAGAAGAACAGGTTGAATTATGTTTTGTGAAAACAAGTATGTTGGATCAGGTTTTCTTCCACACAAAATTAATTTGTAAAATACAAAGTTACAACTTGTAACACTACCTAAGTAACTTAATCCTCAGTAAGTTTCTTCAAATGTCTTCATATTATTACCAGGATAGTAACACATCAATTTAATACAAAAAATAATAATAAAAAAACTATTTCTAAATGAAGTACTTAAGATGAAAGTAAGAAGACATTTCTTTAAACCATTACCCAATATGACCTTTTTAAAAAAGGACAGATCAAGGCAATTAAAGCTCTAAATAGGATTAAAGGTTGGCTGCTGTGGTTATCTTGTACCGTCTGTTTTGTTTGTTGAATGTCTGTTGCTGTATTCTTCACTGTGGCATCTGACAGATCACACATGCAGCACAAAAGATCCAAATACGTATTGGCCTGCTCCTGTAGAGCTCGGAAATGCTTCACCTGAGAGAAGACAAACCCCAAATAATCTCTGAGACTGTGGAAATAATCTCTTACTATATATCTCTTAAAATCATACATTTTTGTATTTTTAATCTGGCTCATTATTTCCAAGAAATGGAATTTAGACATATGCTATTTTATTAGATAAGGCTGCTCTGCCATAATCATGGGAAAAAGTAACTTAAAAAAATGATTATTATCATCCAGTTATCAGACCAGTCAGTGTCTTTCCATTACATAGCTTACTTCTTTACAACTAGAAGCTTTGCACAGATACACAGACGTTTCAATAAGGTCACGGAGTTTACACAAGTGGATTCAAAGCAGGGTTTTATCCCATTATTGAACTGTCAGATTGTCTACACTTCTCCAGTGTTTGAATCCTGTAGGATCCAGCCCAGCAGCACAACACATCCTTTCTTTTAAACACTCTCTGAAGCCCTCCTGACTGTCCCCAGCTTCTACGACTGCCAGAATCTTTCAATAATATGCTGTTGCAGGGTCTTCCTTTCAGCATTGCCCAGAGAAGTCCATCTCTTGCTGCAATAAGTTTCAAAAGTTTCCTCATCCCACAAGAAAACGGTGATACTAGTGTTGACAAGCAGGGCAACAACATACATATATCTTGAAGTCTCAGGGAGAAGGGAAAGTGACCGTGCAGCCCAGAGAGCGAGTGGGGAGGGGTGTCCTTGTGGACAAGAAGTTGAACATAGGACAGCAGTGTGCCCTCGTGGCAACCGAGACTTACTGCATTAGAGAGGGTGTGGAGAGCAGGCTGGGGGAAGTGATTATTCTCCTCTCTTTCACACTGGTAAGGCTGCACCTGGAGTACTGTGCCCAGTTTTGGGTCTCCCCGCAGAAGAGGGATACTGGCAAACTGGAGTGAGTCCAGGAAAGGGCTGGGGAAGAAGGGCTGTAGCACGGCACTTGGGGAGGTCTGAAGGAGCTGGGTTTGTTCAGCCTGGAGAAGAGAGGCTAATTGCTGCCTCCCACTGCTTAAAAGGGTTTGGGGGCAAAGGGAGGGGTTATAGAGAAGACAGAGCCAAACTCTACTCATAGGTGAGCAGAAAAAGAATGAAAGGAAAAGGTGACAAGTTGCAGCAAGGAAACTGCCTGGATATGAAGAAAAAAATTTTTCTTCACAGTGAGAGCAGTTAGTTAGACGCCAGAATGGGTCCCTAACTCTTAGAGATCCTCAGATGAGGCTTAGCCTTCAGACTTGGCTGGTGGTCACTGGGCTGTGGCCAGCTGTCGCAGACCCTGCTCTGCTCGCCCAGCCTCACTGTCAGCCCCAGCCCCCAGCTCCCCGGCCCTGGCGGAGCTGTCAGCCGCCACAGCTCCATGACAGAGAGTTTCAAAACTCAACTGGAAAGAATCTTAGCAACCTAATTTAGCTTTGAGTTTGACCCTCCCTTAAACACGGAGCTGGACTAGATGACCTCCAGAAGTCCCTGCCAACCTAAATTATTCTGTTTCTGCTCCTCATTAATCCATAAAGCTCTCTATACGAAATCCACTCCATAAAGACTTCCTTTAAGGAGATTTTACATCACCTTCTTCTGTACTGTACCTAGTCAAAACCTGTAGCATTTGAAGGTCTCTATTAAAAAACCTGGTGGATGAGACAGCCCTAAATTCCATCTTTTTTAGTATCAAACTAGTTTGATACTAAAACTAGTTTCTACCGGATTTGAAAATAAGGTAGAAATCTGATGCAAAATATATTAAGTTATTAAGAATAATCAAGAAAAAGGAACCTTTCTTAATGACTAATGTGGGGTGGAGACAATTCAATATTCCTGGGCTGAAAAATTATTTTAATTGCCTGATAAGAGACCATGTGTCCGTGGTACTATGGAACCAGGTCTTGTATATGAACATTAATTTACAGACAGATGGGCAATTAGAAAAGCAGAAAGACAACCTCTCTGCTAAGCACATCTGTGGAACAGATGAGCAGGTTTATCTAATCAGCCAACTGTTTTTACGGAACATATTTCTAAGCATTAAGCAGAGCTAGCAAAAGCCCTGTTTGACTTCTGACCTAAGATTATGCTCTGTTCAAGGTATTCCTTCTGGAACCGGGAATAAATGGTAAGGCTATACAGCCCATGGAGAAGGTTGCAGAGAGTATCCAATTTCTATTAATAAAAAGCTCATTAAGGATAACCGAGATTTTCATGAACTGAACTTTTACCTGTTTAACTGCATCTGCCAGGCTGAAAGGTGGCCAAGTACTTGGCTTTAGCTCTGACTGCACTGTAGATAGCCAAGTCTGACACTGTTGCAGAGTATCCTGATGGTTAACATGCTTCTGGAGTTCATGTTCCAAGCTTTGGTACACCTAAAATAAATATTTTGTAATGTCATTAAATTTTCAAACACCACTACCGGCTCTCTTCCCCCACCCTGAAAACTATGGGGAAAAAAACATACAACTGGTAATATATAGCACAGTATATAATACAGAGTTAACATATAATACAAAGATTACAGTCATTTTAGCCCCTACACAGAAAGATACCATGGTAAGAAAGCTCCTTAAGCTCTCACTGTCCCTTGCTCATTTGTAGAGGAGATAAACAAAATCTAGTGCACTGCTTCTGGAAGGAAAAACTGAAGATGAAAATACAGAACATTTTCTCTTATTTCTGTATTCTTTTTCATCGTTTTGCCATTGATCTAGCATAAGATTTTACCTACCTCTATGAACCTCTGACTCTGAAGTAAGACTTTGCATTATTATTAATTTTTTAACTGTGGCGTTAATCCTCATTGGACGAACAGAATGACCCAGTTAGCCCTTCTTAACTGTATATTCTGGTTTTACTAAGAGAAATGGTATTTCCTAGCACATAATTAAGGCCAGTGATGTATGTACGCTAACTACTGGCACTAAGAGTGTAATTTCCTCCCTGGTTTTTGTACCAGGAATAGTTCTATTTACCTCACTGTGACTGCTCAGAAGCTTGTATAACATGAAGCTAGTCAAGGAGTGGAGTTTAAAGTAGGAACTTTTGATTGATATACCGTTAGTTACTCTGAGTATAAGACAGTATTTGGAAGGGATTCATCTGCAGCACAGTAATGACAAAATACTACATTAATAACCCGTAGGCTCAATTTCAACTGAAACAATAGGCAGAGTTTTACACCATTTGAAGAAACTACAAGTATTTATAGAAATAATAACATGTGTTATTCCTAAACTGCATAAAAACATTTTTGAAACAAGACTTACTCTTTGGGCTGTGCTACATATGGCAGAATAACTGTCCCTTGTCCCCTGAAGATGGCTTTGTATATTTTGCTTAAATTTTGCTTGAAGTTGTTCTGTACATTGATCGATCAAATAATCACCTTTACTCTTAAGGCTGTTCAAACGATCTTCAAATCCTGCAATTTCTTCCATGATAGCCTAAGAAATACATAAAATACTTTTGAAGAAATTTTTTAAACTTAAAACAGGGTCTAAATTACAGCTTCTTAAATGACCTTATGTGTTAAACACTTTTTTTCTTAAATACTCTTTGTCTTCGTATTTGGAAAAAAGTTTTCAGAAAACATTTAATATTATAGTCCAGCTATTAGAGCACAGGTTCATTGTAAAGTCAAATATCTGTGCATGCATAGCCCACAGAAATACTAGTAGCATTGTCATAAAGTGTAAACACCATATGCTTATGCCTAAAAACAGACTACTCTTAAGTCTTCCTTTGTTGCAAGTCCAGGGCTCCAACAACTTCTCTTGTGTGTAGTATAAATGTGATGCTGAGTCATTTCTTATGCCATAATCTCTTTCATTAAAGATAGATCTTTCCATTGACTGTGGTGGAGGCAGATGCTTACCAAGGAGGCTGCTTAAAGAACAATAAACTAATTACAAGCAGTTAACAGTTTTCAGTATTTGCTCTTGGAATTTCAGATTCTGGAGGGGGTGAGAGGGCTGAATTTTGCTTTCTTTTATCTTTTGCAAAGCACCAACTATCAATGTAGAGAATGATTATCATTGATAACAACAATATCATTCCTGAAAGCAATGGAGGAAAGATACAATCTAACAGAGGAAAAAAATATAAAGAATTCAAAAATTAAATAATTTTTTCCTTACAAGTGTCTGAATCAAAATTGCCCCAGAAGTAAGATGAGCCTAATCTGCTTCTTGTGGTCTGCTTCTTGGGAGATCTCAGCAAAAGGCTGGCAGAGTTCAGCCAAACGCACAACAAAGCCCTTGAGCTGATGCAGACCATTCCAAGAAGCAGACAGGGCTTCAACAAAGTACGTTTGTTAACTGCATTAGTGACACTGACGCTCATTTATGCACTCAGCAGTAACAGGAATAAAACAGGTGAATGACAAATAACTCAAGCTCTGGAGTAGAGACAGAAAAGCTGAGAAGAAAAATTATACTTTACCAGACAAAGGAAGTTTACCTAAGCACCACACTCACCTTGTGGTTGGCTAGCTGCTGAGTAATTATTTCAAGGTTATTACTCTCCATGAAGTCAGGGCTGACAAGCCTGCTGGACATATGTAACAACCATTTCTCCCCTTCTTGCAAGTCACTATTGTAATCTTCATGTTCTTTCACTCTCAGCTCTAAGGTTTCAGCGTACGCCTGTATGTCCACATCAACAAAAATTAAATGTTAACGTGATTATAAGAATAAGAAAAAATCAGCAGTTTTAAAGCCTAGTAAGAGAGTTATCTTCCAAATTCATATTCCTGTGAGTTACTCTCATGTGATTACTCCTAAAGAAGATATCAAAGGGATTACCTGTGTGAATAAAATCTGCGGCACTGAGCAATATTGTCACTGAGGGTGAAATACCACACTTAAAGAAGATTGAGGAAAAAAATGAGGACCCCCTTCCTTTAAAAAAAGCAACACTGTCAATTTCACATTAAATCCCTTTAAAAAAATTTATTACACAGTCTTTTAGAGACTTCACCAAATATCGTGGCTTGGCCCCTGCCGCTTACAGTCATCATACATATTACCTGTGATTCTATTAGGCAAACTAAGGATAAACACAAAACTTACTTGTTCTTTTTAAAAAAGATTTTTCTTATAGCTTAAGTCACCAAAATTACATCTAGTGCAACGAAAATCAGCTTTTCAGTATGGACTAGGGGAATATCCATCAATTAAAATCAACTGAAAAAGACCACCTGCTATTGGTGGATGGATTCGGGGACTTAAGTCAAACATAAGTACTAACATGGTTTTACAAAGCTTATCCCTGTTAGGAGTAGAACCTATTAAAAGCTTTAGGAATAGTCATACTTTAGGACATATTCAGAAATGCTAGATATTTCAAAGAACTATATACATGCTGATTAAGGAATCAATGTTAATTTTGCCACTGCTGAACTAAAGTATTTCCTTTTCACATTTCATTTTCTCCACTGACTTTCATTCAATAACAAATTTAGACTAAATAGGTTTTGTGTGAGATTTAGCAGAAACAAGAGACAAAATGGCACGATTTAAGGGCATCTGCCTCTTTAAGAAGGAATTTATTTAGAAATCTCTTCAAAGCAATCAAAAGAATAACAAATGTACAAACTGGTCACTAATGTATTTCTCCTTGGTGCTACACCTGCCACACTTAAAATTCACTTCAGCTACTCTTAGATTTATTTAGGTAGAACTTCATTCCCTACCACAGAGGTTACAAAAATACCTAATAAAATCTTACTGGCTCTGTGTACAGGGTGTGAACTGACAATGTGAAACAAATATGTGACCTCTTAAAAAGGGAAGAGTATAGTCAAGTGGGAAGAACCAGAGTTTCCTTTCTGCCTTCTTTTACCTTTGTTGAGCTGCACAGTTCCTGGTAGCTGCTCTGAAGGTCTTGAATGTTTTTCCTTAGAGCTGTATCATTCACCAGATCAAAAAGTGCTTCTCCCTTTTCAATCACTGATTTTACTGTAGACTCATGGGACAGAACAGTCTGCTGTATGGACTACAATGCAAGCAAGCATAGTAAAACATACATTGAACACAAAACAGCTATTTCACTCGCTTCCCTTCGATCTAAAGCACAGCCTTCTATCATGGTATATATCACCCTCTCCTGAAGAGAAGGGCTTTGCCATCACTAGAGGACTATGTTTCTTAGCCGTACCCTGGGACAACAACTTCTTAGGCATTTAAGAGCAATTGCCCCCTTTGCAAGTCCCTAATAGCATGACTGATAACCTGGAGATGGCAAAGGAAAAGGAGTGTATGTGTGAACGGGTAAATGCTAGGGATAAAACCTGTTCTGAGGAACAGATGCTGTGAATAGGTGGGCAATCATGATCAAAGCTACCTCCTTAATGAGATGATATGCAGATAAGTGCATAAGACTGCACTCACAAGAGTGTGAAATCTGATCTCCTACTATCTCATTGTTGTGCCGCTGGGATAGATAGCATGGCACATAGCAGCATCCATGCAAAGACAGTGAGATACCAGCTTCCCAAAGGCACACAGCTTTGACTCACAACTTTGAGTATTTAAGTTATGTCATCTTATGAAACATCTGGAATCCTGAAGTACTTCACAAAAACATTATGAAGACAGGCAACTGGCTTTGTCCTAAAAATATTAATTCTTTAAAATCCTTATTAAAAACAGTGGAGGCTGTAGTATCTAACCGTCTTGGATGTCAGCTGAGATGGGACATTCAGCTTTAACCAGAAAGCTGGCTAAGCCAATGTAGACAGAAGCAACGTCTGCAGTGAGTGCTTAAACGGCAGTTACTGTGTTAATATCAACAGAGTTACTTATATGTGCGTAAATAAAAACAGAACTAGGCTCTGTAACATGAAACTTTCAAATATGGAAGCTTTATTAAGACATCTGCATTTCAAATCCAGGTGCTCACTCTGGTTCGCAGGTGCAGGTACCATGCATCTTTTCACTCTAATGCTGATTCAGACATCCAGATCAGATTCAGACATCCAGATGTCTCATAAATCTATGACTCTTGAAAAGACACCTGGATTTACTGCGACTCTTCTAGGTCCACATTCATTCATATAGCAGAATGATACAACCCCTTCTTACCTTGTATTTAGACAACTGGGCCTTCTTCTCATAGAGTTCACTTTTTGGCTCCACTGGAGCATGTAAGATGCCTTGGTACTCCATTAGCCACTGGGTCTGCGCTTTGTACTTGTCCGAGAACTCCTTGGCCAGCTGTAGGCACTTCTCTGAAGTCATGTGCTCTTTCCTGATCAAGCCAGCCAATTCTTCAAGCTGTTCCACGTAATCACTGATTTCTTTTCTTAACTGGGAAACTTCCTTTTCTTCCATGTACTTTATAGCTCGCTCTCCCTTCTCCCGGGCAGATTTCAGTAAACTATGGCCTATGTCCATATCGCTTAAGAGAAGCTGCGAAGGAAGTATCGGTTAACAGAAAGTGTAAGCAAACTCTTGCTTCTTTCCTTTTGATCCATTGTAGCTCTACTATCAACGAGATGCTAATGGTAAATTCTTTATTTTACTAGGGACGTAGAAGGCATTGCTAGGAAACTGAGCGGACTTTTCATTACTAACAAGCCTGGAGTTAAAGTGTGATGAACTTGAAATAGAAAAAACAAACACTTTTTTTCTACACTGGGCTTCTGAAGACAAAAATAGAAACTCAGGGCTTTCAGGAGAGGATTCCGACTCTGGATTCTGGAATTGTAGGAAGTTGTTCCTTAGCACTTTATGCTTAAACTGTGGGACATCTGAAGAACTCACTCACAACTCTGAAATGAAATGTGAGTACTGAGTTATTTCAGTGAGAAGAAACAAAGTCCTTCTCGCTACAGAGCTTACTGTGATGAAGTACATATGAGAGGATGACTTGGTAGGGGAATTTATTTCACGTTTTAGGCTAAAATAAAATATGCACAAACATGTTTTACTGAAAGATAGGATTATGTTATTTACAATTATCCATAACCTTAACAACCAAACTGTGATCTAATGAGACTGTGATACAAGCACAGAAAAAAGAGTACTCTTTATCTTGTTAACTTCTCCAGGTAGGTTGAACTTGGAAAAGGCTGTATGGATTCTTTTTGTGAACAGAAACTGAAGAGAAACGATAACAAATTGTATTTACATAGGCTGTACCTCTAATTTCTGCATTTTTTTCTCCATTGCTGTTTTATCCACCACATCAAACTTGGTGATTACGTTTCTGAAGTCCTTATTGGTAGCTCCATACCAATTTGCATAAGCACTGAAAGCTAATTCTGACTCCTCCATACTTCTAACCTCTTCTTCCAGAAACTTTATTTGCTCCTACAAATACAGGGAGAGGGGGAAGAAACAAAACCAATTCAGATGTTTATCATTATTGGCTAATGATTGCAATAAGCTGCTATTTATTAATAAAAAATGATATACTAAGATTAAATGCACTGTTCCTGAGTCCTTTCAGATCTAGTGGATAATTTTCACTAGGGTCTTCTTAAGATACAGCAATCACTACTGTTAAAATGGAGATAATACTGAGCACTGAAAAGATAGTTATATTTTGACATTTGAATTGCAATTAGTGACTACGGTACTATCAGACACTTAACATTAAAGTGACCTGAAGACTGTACCTTATCAAATCAAATTTCCCCATACCTATCTGTTTCAATGATAACCTGAACACTTTTCTCTAGAGATCATTCAGCATTCAAACCCATGAATTCTGAATTTCTCTCCTGAAACTTCCAAAAAACATAGTAACAACATCTGGTTAATACTGAAAACTTTTAAAAGGGCTTTGTCCTAATAATAGTTCTCCAGCACATCTAGTCCGGTGACATCTAGTGTATGTATGTGAACATGAATATTATATTATGGAGTCTACAGTAATGAACAACCTCTGATGAAGTCTAATTAAAAAAGACTAACTGAACCTTTTTCAGAGCTGACATTTTATAATGTTATACTGAACTAATGTTCATTACTTACCAACACATGAAGAAGAAGAGTTTGATATCGAGAAGTAAGTTGTGTGGCTTGACTTCCCGTTCTACATGTAGCGAGACTTTCCTCTAGTATTTGCTGAGCCAATACCCCAACCTCCTCCACATCATCTTTGTAGACTGTAATTTCTTCATGCCACTTCTATGACAAAGACATTATCCAGGTTATATGATTAATTCAAAGATACTAAACACAACAGGAATTTTGCTACAACTAAGTTAGAATTAAAAAGCAAAATCACAGAATCAGAGAATCACAGAATCGTTTAGGTTGGAAGGGACCTCTGGAGATCATCTAGTCCAACCTCCCTGCTCAAGCAGGGTCACCTAGAGCATATTGCCCAGGATCACATCCAGACGGGTTCTGAGTATCTCCAGCGAAGGAGACTCCACTACCTCTCTGGGCAACCTGTTCCAATGCTCTGCCACCCTCACAGTGAAGAAGTTTTTCTCAGGTTTAGGTGGAACTTCCTGTGGTTCAGTTTCTGCCCATTGCCTCTTGTCCTGTTGCTGGGCACCACAGAGAAGAGTCTGGCCCCATCCTCTCGACACCCTCCCTTCAGATACTTGTACACATTGATGAGATCGCCTCTCAGTCTTCTCTTCTCCAGGCTGAACAGGCCCAGCTCTTGCAGTCTTTCTTCAGAGGAGAGGTGCTCCAGCCCTCTAATCATCTTGGTAGCCCTCCGCTGGACTCTCTCCAGGAGTGCCATGTCTCTCTTGGACTGGGGAGCCCAGAACTGGACACAGTACTCCAGGTGAGGCCTCACCAGGGCTGAATAGAGGGGCAGGATCACCTCCCTCGACCTGCTGGCAACACTCTGCCTAATGCACCCCAGCATACCATGGGCCTTCTTGGCCACAAGGGCACACTGCTGGCTCATGTTTAACTTGTTGTCCACCAGCACTCCCAGGTCCTTCTCGGCAGAGCCACTTTGCAGCAGGTCAACCCCCAGCCTGTCCTGGTGCATGGGATTATTCCTGCCTAGGTGCAGGACCTTGCACTTGCCTTTGTTGAACTTCATGAGGTTCCTCTCCGCCCAGCTCTCCAGCCTGTCCAGGTCCCTCTGAATGGCAGCACAGTCTTCTGGTGTGTCAGCCACTCCCCCCAGTTTAGTATCATCAGCAAACTTGCTGAGGGTGCACTCTGTCCCTTCCTCCAGGTCATTGATGAATACATGGAACAAGACTGGACCCAGGACTGACCCC